TGTTTCTGTCAAATGTCCCAATGCCCAGGACGTCTCTTTCTGCTGCTTCTACTGCTCATACAGTCTTATCCACTCTCATTCCTCCTACGACCGTGAATATCTTCGGTCAAGATGACAGACTGCAGTTCTCGATTGTGTTTCCCATTGTCCCCCGGACACCTCCACCCGAAGTCTCCTCACTGTCTCAGATCAACAGATCCAGAGCTGAGTCAGCTTCTTCCTCCTGAGCCTGTACCTACCTCCTCCTGCATTTCATCTCTGAATAGCGCCACCTTCCGTCGGGTGGTTCCAGGCGGGAACTCGGCTCTGTCTCTGACCCCTCCCTTTCCTTTTGTCCCCACAAGCCAGCTCTTAGTTGTACCTCTTAAACATGTGCCGAGTCTGTCCTCTTCACTCTGTCCCCTGGCAGGATCCTGCTTCCCGCTGTCGGTGCCATCGTCACTGACCAGTCCTCCAGAGCACGCCCTGCTCTCCCTGGATCATCTCCCTTGACCAGTGTCTCACACTGCAAGCAGAATGATCCTTCTACGTGTAAAGCTAGTGGCATCAGTTCTCATCTTAAAACCTTTCAGCGGCTTCTTAGGATAAAATCCAAATCCCTTAAACAGCTTGCAAGGCCCCTGGTGGTCCACCTGTGTGTGACTCCTGACACCTCCTGTCCCGCTGCCCCTCCCGTGGCCACTGCGCGCCGCTGCCCCCACCACCTCGGCTCCTGAACTGGTCCTGTCCTCACACTTGGGCTCTGCGTCTGCGGCCTCCTTTGCTTAGACGCCCCTTCCTGTTTTTGCCTGGCTGCTTTCTCCCTGCATCTCGCCTTCCGTGTCACGTCCTGTGAAAGCCTTATAATGCCCTTAAGACTAGCTAGCTACCCTTAGCAAGGGGCCCCTCTCCTGGGGCAGACAGAAGTCACATCGCGGGGTGCTCGCCCGTTGAATTGTCTGTCTTCCCTTCTCAGCAGTGAATCGCATGAAGATGGGAGATGTTGGCGTGTTCACCGGTATATCCCAGACACCTCGCACAGAGCCTGGCGTATTACTGATCCAGCACGTCTTTACTATACCACCAGTGTTTATCGAAAGTTGTTCTTCGTCACTTGATCCAAAGCTTCCCAGGGTGGGACCAAATCATGTTCATTGTACTTACCTGGCCCTTGGTGTTCCGTGAGTTTGTTTCACCAATTATTTGGGACAGATTTATTGTACCCAAACTTACAGATATTAAATGAAAGTAAATCTACAAGTCAAATTAAATGAGACTAGGAAGTCATGTGATTAATATAAATGTGCTGTGCAATATACATCCAAACGAGTATTTCCCATTTTGTATGAAGGACATTGCGAAGAAAAGGCAGTCAGTCGGGCATCTGTCGTCCAGTCGGGTTGGCATGGGCTCCAGTTTCGCTTTGCCGCTCGGTGACGTCGCCCCCTGGGCAGGTCCCTTCCTTCTCCGAGCCTCGGCTCCCTCCTCTGTCCGAGCGAGACTGCAGTGCCAGCCTTGCCAGGTTGTTGCAAAGATTCAGGGTCTAGGAAACCACCTGCCCTGGTACCTAGTACGTAGTAGGTGCTCTGTGAATTTTCACTGACTTTGTCTTTTGTTCCAACAGTGCTGCTGCTACTGACACACTTGGAATTTCTCTTCTGAAATAGTTTGCAGAGCTTGCTCTAGTCCGTTGGACTGTCTCAGTGGGAGAAATCTTTTTCTTTGAGATTATGTTTTCAGTTTTAGAAAAAGCTTGGTTTCCAGAGTAAGACCAGGATGGTCAACACCATGTTTGATATTTAATGGAAGTATGACTACAGTGAGGTTTCCTCATGAATGTCTAAACTGAGACATATGCTCACTTTCTCACAGGTAGTGCTGACAGCCTCGTCCATTTGACACGTGAAAATTCAAGAAATGAACTTCCAAAAAATCTTTTGACTTTTGAATAGCACTCTGATAAAATCAAGCAGTAATGGAAAGCTCAGGAGAGACATCTTTAATAATATTCTCAATCACAGTTAACCATCTAGCGAAAAAGGATGTAGGGAAAAATGATCCGAGGTGCTAGCCCTGGTACGTGTTTGGGGCACAGGAGTCAGTGTGGCGGGAAGGGTGCGGAAGGGGGTCTCCGCTGCCACGCAGGGGGGCTGGTGCCTTCGGAGCCTGGCCCTCGTGAAGGAGAGGGCGGCCGGGGCGAGGACAGGGCTGCAGAACAGGTGTGCTCAGCTCGCACAGAGGCCCAGAGACGGGCACAGCGCGGTCCTCCGGATATCAGCCTAGGGGAAGAGATTGGAGGCACAGGTTGGCCCTGGCACTAGAGAAAACATTGAAGCAGGTGGTGGGAGCAGTCGGGCAAGGCTGGAGTGGGGCCTCAGGGCATGGGGAAGCTGGACTGGGGAGTCCAGTCCAGGGGCAGCTGGTCACAATGCCCAGTCACCGCACGGAACCTAGTTGTCTTCTGTGACCAGCGGTTGCGGAGGGTCCGGAACTTTACCTCGGCATTGTATAGAAGGTTATGAGTGTGAGCTGTTGAGGCAGCTCTGAAGGGTCGTGAACATGTTCATTATTTTTAAATCTTTTACCTCGGCATTGTATAGAAGGTTATGAGTGTGAGCTGTTGAGGCAGCTCTAAAGGGTTGTGAACATGTTAATTATTTTTAAATCTTTTACCTCGGCATTGTATAGAAGGTTATGAATGTGAGCTGTTGAGGCAGCTCTAAAGGGTTGTGAACATGTTAATTATTTTTAAATCTTTTACTAGTTTGTACCCTGAATTTACCTCATCTTGTGTGTGTATACATTTATGTATGCAGGTATATGCATTTGTCAGCATTAGAATGAGTCCCTAAGAGCCGTGAAGGAAGGGGGCGGTGGCGGGGGAGGGGTGCATGCATGTTGGTGACTGTGGCAGGCAGGAGAGAGCACTGGGTGGTCGTGGAGCAGTGGGGTGGAGCCTGGCGGTACGATGCCCTCTGAGCTGGGCTTGACGGGGGGCTGTGCCCGGAGCACCGGATGGAGCGCAGTGTGCACTCTGAGGGCCGGGGCGTTGGGGTCTGGACGGCACACTGATCTGAGGTGGGACCGGCAGCGCTGATACTTCCCCTTGGCTAGCGTTTTCAGACTGGAGCTGGCTGCTCCGTGATCCCTGTGGGCGGTTCTGCAGCCTGGCCGTGGGAGAGAGTCATCCAGCAGCCTTTGGCGCCGGGGGCGACAAGCAAACACTTGTTGATTTCAGTTTCTTTCTTTTTTTTTTAATCCTCACCTGAATATATTTTTTCTATTTATCTTCAGCTAGAGTGGGAGGAAGGGCGAGAGAGAAACATCGATGTGAGAGAGAGAGAGACAGACAGACAGACAGACAGACATCAACTAGCTGCCTCCTGCATGACCTGACCAGTGCCAGGGATGAACTGTAACCGAGGTACGTGCCCTTGACCGGAATTGAACCCGTGACTCATTGGTCTGAGGGCCGACACTCTGACTGCTGAGCCAGACCGGCCAGGGCTGATTTCAGTTTCTTTTAGCTCAACCTTAAGTACCAAAATTTGGTTTGAATTACTGTCAAAATGCAACATTCAAGGACTTCCATGTTACGACAAAGGTCTAGAAAGAGGATTTAAGGGAAATGCCCATTTCTCCTCTTAATTCTTCTCTATAACTTATGTATTGGTCATCCTTTCTGGGTACTAGTTTTCTTAACTTCAACCCGATTAACAACAGTTACCTTAGCAGTGCCAGCCACGTGCATTAGCAATGTCTCTCACGGGGAGAAGGCTCTGGAGCCCTGGGGCAGCCAGTGTTTTGTAATTTATTATTTTAAAAAGTCCTCACCTGAGGATATGTTTTTTTGTTTTGTTTTGTTTTTTAAATAGTAATTTTAGAGAGAGAGGAAGGGAGAGAGAGCGAAAGAAATATCAATGTGAAAGAGAAACAGTCCTTGCCTCCTGGATGTGCCCCGACAGGGGATCGAACCTGCAACCTTTTTGGTGTATGGGACGATGCTCCAGCTAACTGAGCCACCCAACCAGCGCGGCAGTCAGCCATTTAACATGCTCTCATGGTCTAAACAACAAACACATTTTAGAGACATTTTTATTAAATAGGTGAACATATTTTGACAGGATGCTTCTATTTTTGCAAGCCCAAATTTTGCCAACTGCCACAATTTTCCATTTATAATGTAAGTGAATGTCTGACTTTTATATATGTGTGTGTGTGTGTGTGTGTGTGTGTGTGTGTGTGTGTGTGTGTATAGAAGAGAGTTAGTTAAAGCAGTAGCAGAAGTAGCTAAAGATCATATTTATTTCTGGCGAACGACCGCGTAACTTCCACTGGATGAGGAGAGGGTAGGGTAGGGGCATTGCTTTCTGTGGTTGCCCTAACGTGTACTGCACACTTAGTGATTTAACGCAACACGCATTTATCATCTTACAGTTCTGTGGGTTAAGAGTCCAGTGCAGGGCTCCCTGGGCTCAAAGCAGGGCGTTGGCAAGAACTGCACCCCGTCTGGAGGCTCTGGGCGGGAACCCATTTCTGTGCCTTTCCAGCTTCTAGGGGGTGCCCACGTTCCCGACTTCGTCTTCAAAGCCGCCGGGTTGCCTCTCTCTGACCGTTCAACCCTCGTCAGATTTGTCGCTCATCACAGCCAGGAAAGTTTCTCTGCTTTTAGGGACCCTTGTGGTTGAATAGGCACACCGTCACAGTCCATGGTAATCTGCCCGTCTCCCGGTGCAGCAACTAATCACATCTGTAAAGTAGCATACTCTCGGGTTCTGGGCTCAGGATGTGGGCACTTTGGGGGCACTATTCTGTCTGCCATTATGTGGAAATATCGCGCAGTATTTCATTCAGAGAAAGTATTTTGCAAACATGCTCATAATTTGTTATAGGTCTTTAGGAAACTTTCACTTGGTTATTTTGTAGGGAAGAGTTGTATATATTTAAAAAACAAAACAAATTTTGTTTGCATTTTGACATCATTAAAGCTAACGTGCATTCTCTTTTGTTTACTTTGATAGTGATAACCTACTAAGGAGAGCAGCCTGTCAAGAAGCCCAGGTAATACCATTTACTGTGAATGAAAACCACCTTATCTCTGTTGTGCAGAAACTCCGGCTGTTCTGGGGCCTTGTGCAGGCCTGCATCGGTGAGGTCTGGCCATTTTGTCCCACTGTCAGGGGACGAATCAGGCCGAGGGCCAACTCTGAACGGAACTGGAGGAAGTTAACCATCTGGCGAAGAGCAGTTCTAACGCCCACCTCTTTAGACTTGTTTACTTCTGCGTTAGTCCTAAGAGCACATGGGTTGGAGCGCTGGGAATGAGTTCCTGTCCGCAGTTGTCCTCGGGGACGGGGCTCAACCCTGCCTCATCCCTGATGCGAACCACCACCAAGGAGCTCAGTGCAGAACTGGTGTTACCTCTCAAAATCAGATCTTGAAACTGGCGGTTCATATGTTTGAAGCCTGTCTCAGCCCAGCTGACTCGTACCACGTGCATTGTCATCCAGCCCGCGGTAGAGGGTGCCTTTGGCTGTGCACGCATCTCGCTGTTCGTTGCTGTGCAATTGCAGATCCTTTTACGTTCAAGACCATATTTCTGTCCTTTTCTCCTCTCCAAATTTGTCCATTATACCTTGCAGGTGAATTTCCATGGCTGAGTTGCCTTTTTGTTATGTGTCATTTAAGTTTTTTATGTCAGAAGTACCAAAAAAGGAACAGGAAGTCGAGGTGTGGTGCATGCAGTGGGGGACGGGTGGGCAGCCCGCTGTTTGTCCCTGAAATGTGTCCGTGCCGGACGGCACCAGTGACTACAGGTGCTGGCAGTAAACTCCACTCTTTGCCATGACCCGACTGTTCTAAATCTGTGTGCAGAATTTGATTCCTTTTTTACTTGTTTTATCTCAGATGGCTCTAAGTTGATTTGGAAATCAACTCAAAGAAACTTGATATTAAAGTCAAGGTGGCCCCATAATTTTCCGTTAGCAACTGAAGGACTCTTCGGAGGGGACCCTTTCTTTCCCTCCTGAAGGAGGATGGCCGTAGGATCTTCCCTTTCTTTAGGCGGATGCCTCCACCTCTGTCCTGCATTCCGCCTCCTCTTTCTATCAGAGACTGAGTTCTTTATCTCCCCGTTCATCTGCTCACCTCCCCCGAGTTCTCATTCTCCCTTTCCTGACACGTGCCCAGCTCCTTCTGTCGCATATAAGCGAGTTCATTCTTATGCCTCCTCTGGCTCCTCTTCCTGTGTGCGTCCTTCCCTTACAGTCTCGGTTCTTGAAAGAATATGATTTGTATAAATCTCCTATAAACTTCGCTCCCTGTAGTCTCGCATTAACTCCTCAGCCGGCTGTAAACCTGTGCGGTGAGTGGCATGAGTTCTGGAGGCTAGAAACCAGGACGAGGAGCGGTCGACCTGGCTCCGGGAAGGGGTCGGCACGAGCACCGGGTTCGACGTGCGCTTTCTGGCCACATTCCGGAAACGGTGTGGATAGAACAAGAACAAATGACAATATTTGGAGATTTGGCAGCAAAATATTGAGGGCTAATTCAGTAAGAGTGAAAACAGTAGAAACTGTAGTACCAGATTTTCTTTTTTTCTAAGCAAAGAAACAGTATGTCTTTCTGAGGTATTCAGAAAAAGTTTATTTTTTTAAAGCAAGAAATAGACAGTGGTGAGAAAGGACCTCCAGTGGAGTCTCAGGGTGGAGGTGGATCAGAGTAGGCGAAGTGAGTAAAGCCTCGTCATCAACTGTCATTTCTTCCCGTGTGTGCTTTGTACTTCTCTACCTGAGTTCTGCCTTCTTGGCTTAGAGCCGCCTCCACCGCCTGGGACTTGGGGTTCTGCCCTTTGTGCTGCTTTCCTACTCGAGTTTGCTCTGTCGATCTGTCCACCCAGACACGATGGCAGCAGCCCCGCTGTCCCCAGCCGAGGCCTCCAAGCGCCTTCATTCTGCCTCGTCCCGGGTCTGCTCTTTAGAGCTGGTAAGAGGTTGGGTTTGGAGTCAGACAGGTGTAAATTCTAGACTGCAGCTTATTAACAATGTGACTTTGACTTCATCTTTCTGACCTTGTTTTTCTAATCTATTAAAGTGAGAATATGATGACCTCTGAGGTTTCTGAACTCAGAATAATGTGTGTGACAGTGGCAAATACCAGGTGCTCAGTCAGCGTTGATTATGTTTCTTTTCCTGTGACAGTTGATGCTATTTAGTTATCATACAAGGTATAAAGAGAAGGAGGCGGATAAAAGTATTAGGTTTGCCCTGGCCAGTTTGGCTCAGCGGTTAGAGCGTTGGCCTGCAGTCTGGAGAGACCCAGGTTCAGTTCCCACTAAGGGCACGTACCTCGGTTGCAGTTTGTCTCCAGCCCTGGTTGGGTCATGTGGGTGGCAACCATTCGATGTGTCCCTTTCACATCGATGTTTCTCTCTCTCCCTCCCTCCCTCCCTCCCTCCCTCCCTCCCTCCCTCTCACTCTATCTGAACAAAATATCGAAAAATGTCCTCGGGTAAGGATAAAAAAAAGAGTATTAGGTTTATTTTATTTATTTATGTATATATATATATATATATAAACACACATACACATACACACACAAAGGTAGGATTAATTGGTAACACAAAGATTCTTCATAAATAAGCTTTAGTCATAAGTTGAAGTAGTAAAAGATTATACTCTGAAAACTATAGACAAATGGATTAAAATTCCCGTTCATAGACTTACTCGTCTTGTTTGTTATAACCCTCGTTATATCCTACGGAGAAAAGGAAAGTTACCTCTAGTAGGTATAGCAGGGTTTGTTCACTACAATACAAAATTCAGCTTATTAAATGATGGTACACTTCCATGTTGTTTATGGTGTTTTTGTCAATATGAAATCATGAAACAACATTTCCCCCCTAGAGTAGATATATCTTCTGGAAGTGAATTCTGTGGAATGAAAGAATCTATGTGACCACTAACGGAAGGAAAAGACATCGACTTACAACTCTTCTCTTCCTTTTCAGGTGTTTGGCAATCAGCTCATTCCTCCCAATGCCCAAGTGAAGAAGGCGACCGTCTTCCTCAACCCCGCAGCCTGCCGAGGGTGGGTGGCCGGTGACGTGTCCAGTTGGCGATTGTCACATATTCCGATTTTATAGGGGGGATCACGGATGTGGGGCAGCTGGTTGGACTGTCTGGGACTGGAAGGACTGGGTTCAGTCCTCTTCTAGCGATAAGATGTGTTTAGTGGAGAAATAACGGTGAATGAGATGCAGCTGTAATGCTAACTGTTGCTTCACAAACTTGTCTAATTGAAGTTCACAGAATCAACACTCAGAAAACGGTCTTCTCTGCTCGGCAGTAGCCCTGGTGGGAAAACTGCTGCTGCTGTGACGTGAATGACTAGACCCTCTCTGTCACGAGATGTTCAGAGGTGGCAGAGAGCGCAGTGGGCTTGCAAGGTCCGAAACAGTCTTTCTTGAAGGAGTGACCCTGAGCCGGGGCTGGAGCTCAGCAGCGGCAGAGCGCTCCATCTTCTTGGCTGAGGACATGGTCCACGGGACAGGGGCTTAGAGACGGTCTCTTGCTATGTCACAGGACTGTCAGTGAACTGGTCTGCTGGACAGAAGGGTCATGTGAAGGAATTGTGGGAATTAAGGTGTGAAGGATACTTAGTATCTTGGATGATAATCATGTGTCATGTTCATTTATTGTAACAAATGTCCCACACTTGTGTGTGGTGTTCAAAGTGGGGTAGGCTGTGTGTGTGGTGGGCCAAGGGGTTCGCAGGAACTCTCTGTGCGTTTTTTCCTTTTTAATCCTCACCCAAGGATATTTCTCTATTGATTTTTTTGTTTTTGTTTTTTTAGATAGAGTGAGAGGGAGGGAGAGAGAGAGAGATTGATTGCCTCCCACATGACCCCAACCTAGGCTGGGAATCGAACTCGCAACTGAGGTATGGGCCCTTGACCGAGAATCGAACCCGTGACTCTTTGGTCCATGGACTGACACTATAACTGCTGAGCCAAACTGGCCAGGGCCTTTTTGTTTTAAATCCTCATCAGAGGACACCTTTCCACTGATTTTCAGATAGAGTGGGAGGGAGGGAGAGAGAGAGAGAAACATTGATGTGAAAGAGTCACACCAATCGGTTGCCTCTCGCATGACCCCAACCAGAGCTGGGGACTGAACCGCAACTGAGGCATGTGCCCTTGACTGGAACTGAACCCACAACCCCTTGGTCCGAGGGCTGACACTCCAGCTGCTGAGCCAAATTAGCCAAGGCCAGAGCCTTTTTTTTTTGTATTGATTTTTAGAGAGAGAGAGGAAGGGAGAAGGAAAGGGAGATAGAAACAGCGATGAGAGAGAACATTGATTGGCCACCTCCTGCATGCCCCCAACTGGGATCGGGCCCACAACCTGTGTCCCTGACTGGGAATCGAACTGGCTACCTCTGTGTGCATGGGTTGACGTTCAGCCACTGAGCCACACCAGCCGGGCCACAGCCTTTTTAAAAAAAATTAAATTTATTGCCCGACGGTGTGGCTCAGTTGGTTGGACGTCATCCCTTCACCAGGAGGTTGCCAGTTCGATTCCCAGTCAGGCACGTGCCCAGATTTCAGGTTCCATCCCCATTAGGAGGCATATAGGAGGCAGCCAATTAATGCTTCTCTCTCTGAAGTCAATAAAAACATATTTTAAAAAATTAAGTTTATGGGGGTAACATTGGTTAATAACATACAAGTTTCAGGCATACAATTCTATAATATATTTATCATCTGTATATTGCATTGTGTGCTCACCACCCAAAGTCTAGTTTCTTTCCATCACCATATATTTAACCTTCTTTATCCTTACCCTCTTCATTCTCCCCCTCTCCTTCCCCTTCGGTAACCACCACACTGTTGTCTGGGTCAATGAGTTTGTTTATTTGTTTTGTTTGTTTGTTGCTTTCTGTTTTATATCCCACATATGAGTGAAAGCATATGGTTCTCATCCTTTAGCACCTGACTTATTTTACTTAGCATGATGCTCTCAGGATCCATCTGTGTTGTTGAAGATGGCTGTATTTCATAATTTTTGTGGCTGAGTAGTATTTCATGGTGTATATGTACCCACCTTCTTTATCTAATCATCTGTCGAAGGACACTTAGGTTGTTTCCATGTCTTGGCCCTCGTCAGTAATGCCGCGGTGAACATATGGGTACATAATATCTTTAGGAATAAATGTTTTCAAATTCGTCAGGCAGATACCCAGAAGAGGGATTGCTGAGTCAAATGGTTGATTTTTTGAGGAACCTCATACTGTGTTCCACGGTGGCTGTATAAATTTACATTCCCACCAGCAGTGTATGAGGGTTCTTTTTTGTCCACATCCTCTCCAACACTTGTTATTTCTTGTATTCTTGATGATAACCCTTCTAACAGGTGTGAGCTGGTATCTCATTATTGTTCTGATTTACATTTCACTGATAGCGAGTGAAGTTGACTTTTTATTGATCTGTTGGCCATCTATCTGTATGTCTTCTTGGGAAAAGTATCTGTTCAGGTCCTCTGCCTTTTTTTTTTTTTTTTAATCCTCACCCGAAGATATTTTTTATTGGCTTTAGAGAGAAACATCAGTGTGAGAGAGACCACTGATCGGTTGCCTCCTGTGTTCACTGAGACCGGGATCGAACCCACAACCTAGGTATGTGCCCTGACCAGAAATTGAACCTGCAGCCTTTTGGTGTACAGGGCAATGCTCCAACCAACTGAGCCACCCGGCCAGGGCTCCTCGGCACTTTTTAAATTTGGATTGTTTTGTTTTGTTTTTGTTAAATTATATGAGTTCTTTTTGTATTTTGGATATTAATATTAGTCCCTTGTCATTGGTATCATTTGCAAATATTGTCTAACTTTTGATCGGTTGCTCTTTTTGTTTTGTTGATGGTTTCTTTTGCTGCGCGGAAGCTTTTAGTTTGATGTCGTCCCCCTCCTTTATTTTGGTTTTTACTTCCCTTGCCTTTGGGGTGAAATTCATAAAAAACCCTCTAAGGCCAAGTGAGACCAAGCTCCATAAGTTTAGTTTCTATGTTTCTTTCTATGTATTTTATTGTTTCAGGTGTTATATTCAAGTCTTTCATCCATTTTGAGTGAATTTTTGCGTATGGTGTCCGGTAGCAGTCTAGTTTCATTGTTTTGCATGTGGCTTTCCAATTTTCCCAGCACCATTTCTTTTTTTTAATACTCATCCGAGGACATTTTTCTATTTTTTGTTCAGATAGAGTGGGAAGGAGAGAGAGGAAGAGAAGAGAGAAACATCAACGTTAAAGGGACACATCGAGTGGCTGCCTCCCAGACGACCCAACCAGGGCCAGGGACAAACCGCAACTGAGGTACGTGCCCTTAGAGGGAACCGAACCCAGGTCTCTCTGGACCGCAGGCCAACGCTCTAACCACTGAGCCAAACTGGCCAGGGCTCAGCACCAGAGGCTTTTCTTCTTTCTCCATTGTATTTTTGGCTCCTTTGTTGAAAATTAGTTGCCCATATATGTGTGGGTTTATTTCTGGGCTCTCAGTGCTGTTATTTTGGTCTGTGTGTCTATGTTTCTGCCTGTACCATACTATTTGGTCACTTTGTAGTATAGTTTGATATCAGGAAGCATGATGCCTCCCATTGTTTTCTTTCTCAGGATTTCTGTGGCTATTTGGGATCTTTTATGGTTCCATATGAATTTTGGGATTAGTTCTAATTCTGAGGAGAGTGTCATTGGTATTTGAGTAGGGATTGCATCAAATTTGTATATTACTTTAGATAGTAAGGACATTTTAACAATATTAATTCTTCCAATTGATGAGCAAGGTATATCCTTCCATTTATTTGTATCTTTTGTTTAATTTCTTTCTCCAACTTCTTATAGTTTTTAGAGTATAGGTCTTTGACCTCTTTGGTTAAATTCATTCCTAGGTATTTTATGCTTTTTGATGCAATTGTAAATAGGTTTGTTTTCTTCTGTCCATTCATTATTGGTGCAGAAATGCAATAGATTTCTGTATACTGATTCTGTGTCCTACAATTTTACTTAAGCCATTTATTAGTCTAAGAGTTTTGGGGTGGAGTCTTTGGGGCTTTCTATATGTAGTATCATGTCACCTGCAAATGATGAGAGTTTTACTTCTTTCTTTGCATTTTGGATGACTTTTAATTCTTTGTCTTGTCTGATTGCTGTGGCTAGGACTTCAATGCTGTGCTGAATAGAGGTGGTGATAGTGGGCATCCTTGCCTTGTTCCAGATCTCAGAGGAAAGGCTTTCAAGTTCTGAAACAAGCTTCTCTAGTAATTTCTTGGGACAGAAAGTGGCTTCACAGAAGGACAAGTCATGCCTTATTTCTTTTTAATTCAGCAGTTTAAGATATTTACCTACAGATTATTTAAATTGGCTCCATTACTCTGCTTAATTGAATCCTATCTGCCTGGCTTCATTAAAACCACTTCCTTCCCTCATAAACACACCATCCTAATGCCTATTGATCATTCTTGTTTAAAAGCATTACTAAATAATACCAGCAATTGAACAGGTCCTATGAACATGATCAAAATACCAAGATAACTAAGTAGTCAGTGGTGGTCTGTGGCAGAAGCCAGCGCACCACTCTGTGGGCTTCAGAATTTGAAGGATCAGGTCTGTAAACTTTTTCTGCTCTGTGATACAGCAGGAGCAACTCGACTTAAATGCTCCGTTGACTCATTTGTAACACGGGAGAAGTAATAGCCCATACCTTATCAAATGACCATGTACAATAGGTGCCTTTAAGATTAAATGAAAGGATCCCTTTGAAGTGCTTGGCATAGTTCCATTTCTTAGTAAGCACGGGATCAAAGAAATATAAGCTGCTGTTATTGTTGTTAGTGACCTGTAGGCCAGGTGCACAAATTCTCTGCTTTGCTCTCCCGCCCTTCCCGAAAGTGCTTGTCCCTCTCCTGCAGCCTGCTTGGACGGTTCCAGGTCCTGTCCCTTTGGAAACCTGGTGAGCGAGCAACTGGCTAATTCTGATGAAGAAAAATACATGGCAATCTAGTTTCAATAGCGCTATAATCGGTTACTCTGAGGGGCTGCTTCTAAGAGATACTTACGTTCTTTAAAATGTAGGCTTGTTTACATTTTTACACGTAAATGCATTTGCATTTTTAAAACTGGATTCTTTTTTTGAAAGTATACTATGTGTAAGGGGGAGGCTAAGGAAAGGCTGACTTTTCTAAAGTCATTGCCCGTTAGCGAGGCGAATCCCTGCGCCGTTCTAGGCGGCAGCCGCTCTGAAACTCCACCGTCTCTTTTTATTTTACTTTTCCCAACATCCTTTTAAAAAACTTTCACCAAAAATGCACTATTTTTGTCATCTTGACTCTGCCCTGACACGTCATTTGTAATTTATTATGTAGCTGTTTCACTATGCAGTACTGGTCTAAAACTACATAAGAGCTTTAAGAAATAAGATGACTGTGTTTAGCATTAATAAATAATACATTAAGGAGTAATTCTTTTTTGTGTGAGCATGAACCTGGAAATTGCTACAAGTATATAACATTTTTATCTCCAGTGCTATCTCACCCTTAATTACGTAATAAATAATGCATTCCTTGCTAGTAACACCTGTTATTCAATCTTTTAAATGGAACATTAGAAGGAAAAAGAATTCTTCACTTTTATTTCAGAAGTTTTCTGTACCCTTTATTCACATAAAAGCGTGAATAAAACCCAAATGTTCAAACCTTATTTCTTAAGCTGGCTTAAAGGAGCTCAGATTTTCTGTACGTGATTAAAGTAGCCGATTGAGACTGCTCCAGAGTTGTGCCTCTCAGAGATCCATCCGCTCCTCTCCAGTGGATCCTTTCTTACCGGTCTAGTAATGGAAGCACCCAGGAAGGAGAGTGTTCACGGTGCCGCTCCCTCAGCCCTGTTGTCCGGCGAAGGCCTGGAGTGGTGAGTGGGCAGGACCGACTTCCATTTAGTCTCTAGTTCATTCTGTTAAGCATTCGGAGCAGTGGAAAAGGTAGGGGACATTTGTTTTATTTGCTTATTACCTGCTCAGTTAGGCCCTTGGTTTGAGATCTTCTCCTGAATGGTTCCTGTGAATATTTATCCAAGCTTCTCAATTTCCATTTAAAACATGATAGGAAATGTTTTGTGTTCTGTCTGCGTTGGTGGTTCTTCTCTGTAGTGTAGAGGATGTTGAGTTTGGTTTGTTCCTCACCGGCTACTTTTGCATCTCTTCCTATTATAAAACATTCTCGCCCTGGCTGGTGTGGTGTCGTTGTTTGGGCATCGTCTCTCGCACCAAAACGTTGCTGGTTTGAGTCCTCGTCAGGGCACATGCCCAGGTTGTGGGCTCCATCCCCAGTGGGGGGCGTGCAGGAGGCGGCTGACCCATGTTCCGCTCTCACATTGATGTTTCTCTTCGCTCTCCCGCTCCCTTCCTCTCTCTCTAAAAATCAGTGAAAATATTAAAAAAATAATTCTCAAGAAAGTCAAAGCATGCATCACTGATAAAAAAAAATCATTTTTTTGAAAGAGAGCTGAGTTATGTGGATGTAACAGTTAGATGTTTGGCTAGTTGACTGTTTTGAATGTACTAGTTTATTTCTGATGTGCTAATTGAAGATATTTGGGTAAAAAGCAGGTCAACTGATTGGTATGTTTAATACCTGTTCAACTTTGAGACTGTGCCACTGGGGACTTTCTGCAACTACAGCATCCCGTGATTCCTAGGCTTTCTTGAATTCTGACCTGAACTGGACAAGAGTCAGTACTGGGACGATGTGTATGGTACTTCTAAAACACAGACTCTTCTGAGGGCTTTGTAACTGTTTCTCTTGTTATAAGACATCTCAGTCATGTCATTTCCTTTTCCTCAGAATGCACGGGACTACATTTGGGGTGGGTTTATTCATTCATTAATTGTGCATTAATTCATTAGCTACTTAAATATGTTCTTCCTGTGCCAGACATACTGGTGGAGGCCAGGGGATTCAGGGACTCGTAAGGTTTGGTGTCTGTTTTTGCAAGGCTTCAAGTTGAGTCCCGAAGATGGTCTTGCAAATCAGTACCCATCGTGCAGTGTGAGAGTTCCCAAGAGAGGTGTGTACACAGGAGTGGGCGACTGTGTGTACACTGAGAAGGGCATGACTGTACCTGGAAGTTTAGGACAAGCTGCTGATTATCTTATAGTTAGGTAACTTCTAACTCTTCTCTGTCCGAGCAGACATTTGGCTCTCATAGAAAAGAAGTTTGTTCTTTCTCTAGGGATTTCACTGCAAGTTGAAAACTTAAGAAATGGAGATAGTATTTGAAATCGTTGCAAAGGTTGTGTCCGTTGCATTAGAATGAAGCAATATTCTGGTTGCTTCCGTTTGTTCCCTTGGACCATATGAAAAATGTTACAGTAAAGACCTTCTCTTCCTTCCACCACTGGAAGGTAAATATGTTCCTTGAAGACTTACTGTGTTATACTTAAGTTACAAGTATTTTTGTCTGCTTTGTCATGTGGTATCTCCAGCCCCTACACCTGTCTACACATAGTAGGTGCTCAATAAATACTTGTTGAGTGAATCAAATATTGCTTCCTGAGTGGAGCCATCTCATGTACATTGGGGCTGGACCATGAACTGAAGTATCCCAAATGGATAGGAGCTACTGTATTAGACATGGTGTAAACTCCTGGAGGCCCGAGTGAGAGAGTCTGTTTCTATCCTTAGAAACTCATTTCTCGTTAAACTTCCTTTACTTGAATGGATAGAGGGAACCCGTGTTCCCTGGTCTATTTCTTGTTTTACACTGGAGAAAGGTGGTTGAACATTTTGTTCCTCCTCTAGAGAACTCATGTTAAATATTTGTCTTTTTTCCTTTGTCTACAGCAAAGCAAGAACTCTGTTTGAAAGAAATGCTGCCCCGATTTTACACTTATCTGGCATGGACGTGACTGTCGTTAAGGTGAGACCTCTCCAGAGTGTCGACCACCCATGTTACTCCCTTCACACAGCCTCTTCTTGTGACTTGTTCGCAGAAATCACTTACCTTAAGACGAGAGCAGAGAAGCCAATGTTGTGTACTTGTTCTGATCATTAATCAGCAATTTTGTTTTTTTAAAGCATCGTCGACTTTTCATTTTCAGAATAAGATTAGGTGGAGGCATAACCTTGATCCCTTTCTTGTGAAAATGGGACATGGAATTCTTGTTTATTGGAAGATGAAAATTATTATAACTGTGAGAATTCTTTTTTCTTTTTTAAACCCTGGAAGTTTGAGTAATTAATTTAATTTCTTTCTAGTTGCACAGACAGGTAAATGTTTTTTCCTCTGGTGAGGAATTTTAAATGGTAAAGCTTCAAAATTTGCAGCTTTAGGTAAGAAGAAGAGGTGACAAAAGTTCAAGGAGATTGTGTTTCTCAGAAGATGCTTCAAGATTCCACTTCGTTTACTCTTAAGTGATATGTGTGCAGTGTGTACGTAGGTGTGCGTATTGGATGAAAATCACTTACCGTGCTTGTGAGTCTATGGGTAACCTATTTTTAACATTATACACTTTCATTAAAGCAGAGATTAAAGGCCAAGGGTCCAAGTTACCATGTAATGTTGAACTCTCTTCTCTAGCTTGTCTGAGACTTGGTGTTTCCATTGTCTGCCTTTAGAATGGAGGAAGGGGGAAAACTAACATTTATTTAGTAGGTACCTGTAATGCATACTGTATGTATCAGAGATCATAGAATGGTTACTTACGACTAATATTATTTGTTCCTGGGATGTTTGGTCGAACTCACAAGTAAAGCCATCTGGGCCTGGAGCTTTCTTTGAGGTTGTGTTTTTTTTTTGTAATATATATTAAATTTCTCGAATAGCTCTAGAAGTACTCAAGATCTATTTCTTCCTGAACTAATTTTGGTACGATAAATTTTTCAAGAAATTTGTTCATTCCATCATGTTTTCAAATGAATTGGAATCAAGTTGTTTATAATATCCTCTTTTTAACTTTTAGATTTCTGTAACATCTGTACTATCTCATTTTCATGCTTAATATGCTTACTATAGTTTATTTGTCACCTTTTCTCTCTCTCAATCGTCTTGTGAGGTGCACCAATTCAATCCTTGCCGAGAACCATCTTTTGGCTTCTCAGTCCTCTCATGTCTCTTGTTTCATTCATTTCCGGTTTGTCTTTATTGTTTTCTTCATGCTACTGTGGATCGTTTTTCTGCTGCTCTTTTCTGACATTTTAATGTGGATGTTTATTTCACTAGGTTTTACCCTTCTGTCCTGCTATATGCATTTAAAGTACGTTTACTTCTTCAGCCGCATCCTAGAAGTTTTAATGTATAACATTTTTATTTCTAGGTGTTTTCTAATTTTCTTCATGATTTTTGTTTGGCCTATGAATTGTGTAGGCATGTTTCAAATTTCTAAATTTTCAAATCTTTATGTTAATGATTTCTGATTTTGTTGTATTTTGGTCAAAGAGTATAGTCTATAAAATTCCAGTATTTTAAAATGTATTGAGACTTGTTTCACGTCCTGGCATGTGGTTTGTTTTAAAAAAAAGTCTCATATGCCTGAGAAGAATTTGTATCAGTTATTAGAGATCATGTCCTGTGTATGTCCGATAAGTCGTATCTGTTGTGTGGCTCACATCTGTGTCCTTACTGACTTTTTCTTCTGTTTTAACTGCACATGATTTAGAGAGAGAGGTGTTAGGAATCTCCACTATAATTGTGGATTTATCTATTTTACTACATAGTTTTGTTCATTTTTGCTTTTTATGTATATATTTTTTGTTAATTTTTCCATTGCTTTTTTAGATAGAATGGAAGAGAGGGAAGGAGAGGGAAACATGGAGCCTTTGGTCCTCGGACCATTGCCCTAACTGCTGAGCCAAACCAACCAGGGCCCTTTTTATATTTTGAGACTGTTAGTAGGTTCACTGAAGTTTCAAATGGCTTTTCTTGCCCTTTGACCTTGTCACAGAGTGACTCTCTTCAGCACTAATCCTGCCTTTTATATGGTCCTATTTATTATCAGTAGTAACTGTACTGGCTTACTTTGGTTAGTTTTTGCCTGGTGTAATTTTACATCTCTGTACTTTCAGCCTTTTGTATCCTTATATTTTAAATGCATCATTTTTAAAGGTGTAAAAACAGGATATTTTAGAAATTGATCATTTTCTGGACCATGTAATCCATGAACATTTATTGTAATTGTTGGTATATTTCAATTTATGTCTATACTAGTTATCTATTGCTATATAACAAACTGCCTTGACAGCTATTTTCCTTTTTATGTATCTTGGTTAGCAGTCTGTGTTCAGAGCTATTTTCTTGCTGATCTACCCTGGCTCCTCACCGGTGTGTCTTTTCATGGCTTGATAGCTCATTTCTATTTATCACTGAATAATATTTTATTGTATAGAGGTACAACAGTTTGTTTATCCTTTTACCTGCTGAAGGACACCTTGATTGCTTCCAATTTTGGCAATTATGAACAAAGCTTCTATAAACATGTGCATATAGATTTTTATGTGGACTTAAGTTTTCAACTCACTTGGGTAAATGCTCGAGAGTGCACTTGCTTGGTCATATGGTAAGAGTATACTTAGCTTTGTAAGAAACTTCAAGGGAGCATTTAGGATCTTGCAAGTCATCAGTTTGACTCCAATAACCTCTTAAAAAAATTCAAAAGAAAAAAAAAAGTAAGTGCCAAACTGCCTTTCAAAGTATAAAGTAGCTGTACCATTTTGCATTTCTGAATTCCCTCCAGCAATGAATGAAATTTCCTGTTGCTCCACATCCTTGTCAACATTTGGTGTTGTCAGTGTTTTGGGTTTTAGCCATTCTAATGGGTATGTACAGGAATGGGCAAAAGTAGGTTTACTGACCATCTTATTTGTTTGTTTTTATCTTTATTGTTGAAAGTATTACAGATGTCCTCCCCTTTCTTCCCCCACCATGTTTTCATTTGCATATTTTTCATCCGTGCATCTTCTTTGGTGTGGTGCTTGTTCAGGTCTTTGCTCTTTTAATTAGGTTGTTTCTTGTTTCTATTCTTATTGTTGAGTTCTAGAGTTCTTTGTATGTTGTGAATACAAGTCCTTTATCAGATGTGTATTGCAAATATTTTCTGTTATACTGTCTTGTAAAGCTGTCTTTTGTCTCAACAATGTTTTTCGCAGAGTAGAAGTTTTTAATTTTAATAAAGTCCAACTTGTCAATTTTTCTCCCATGGATCTTGCTTTCAGTTGATGTATCTAAAAATTGGTTGCCAAACCAAGGACCATCTAGGTCCTCTCCTATGTTATTTTCTAGAAGTTTCATAGTTTTTAAAATTTTACATTTAAGTTTATGACCCATTTTGAGTTAATTTCTGTGAAAGGTGTAAGGTTAGTGTGTTGATTCATTTTTTTTGCATCATTGTACCATTTTTTAATCCTTCCTCTTGGTGCATTGGGAATTTTCATCTTGAGACCAGTCAGGGCTTCAAAAATGTTAGCCCTGGTAATGTAACCTTTTAAATTGTGGTCTGTTAAATCTGTCACAATCTTTATGCACTTTGGTTCTTCCCTCCATGTACTTATTCACATTTATTAATTTTTTGTACAAACATTTATTGAGTGCCTACTATGAGGTAAGCCCTGCCTAAGTGTTGGGGATACAGTCAGAACAAAATCAGCTTTTCCTGTCTGTTCTCAGAGTTTCCGTTTCAAGTGTGAAAGGAAGGGATGCAGAAAAGAAACACAAACTCATGATTTGTCCAGTGGTGATGAATGCCAAGGAGAAAAAGCAAGCAGGGTAAAGGGACAAGGGTAATGGGGATGTTAGTGTAGTTCAGATGCCAAGGGAAGCCCAGCGGATAAGATGACCTTTGAGCCCGGCCAGTGTGGCTCAGTGGTTGAGCGTCAACCCATGCACCAAGAGGTCACTGGTTTGATTCCCAGTCAGGGCACATGCTCAGGTTGTGGGCCTGATCCCCAGTGTGGGGCATTCAGGAGGCGGCTGATCCATGTTCTCTTTCATCGATGTTTCTGTCTCTCGCTCCCTCTCCCTTCCTCTCTCTCTCAAAGTCAATAAAGAAAAAAAAAAAGGACCTTTGAACAGAGACCTGATGGAAATGAGTGAGGTCTGCAGCTGCTCAGAGGGAAAGAATCCAGGCCGAGCAGACTGCGTGGTCAAGGCAAATGTGCACTTGGGTGTGTGAGAGACAGGAAGGAGGCCATTGTGGTTGGAGCGGAGTGAGCTAGGGAGACCCGGAGAGAGGATGAGGTTGGAGAAGGAAAGGGGGCAACATCTTCAGCATTGTATTGCTTTCATATTCAGTAAATTACCGTGTATGTCCATTGTTGATGAAGTATTATATAGAAACAGGCTGAAGGGAGAACCCTAAAGAAATGTCACAAAGAATCTCCCTACACTTTGATGTCACCTCACTGATCCTATCACTTTGAGCCTAGACATGACATTAATTGGTAGCTAATGTAACTGTATTCTTACATATTATTTCCATATTTTCCCACCTTGTCCCTGAGGATATTATCCAAGAGCTTGCAGGTGCCTTGCCGGAAACCAGTATGTCTTTAGATTTGCGGTCTACTGATCTAGTAACCTGTCAAAGACGAGAATCAGTCTGAAACGCTTCATTCTTAGCCGTCATTGGCGCATTCCCAATGAGCACCCATTTTGGGGTGCTCACAAACCATCCTTTTAATTAGGATTGGCATATTTTTATTTATTTAAAAAAATGTGTTTTATTGATTTTTTTAGAGAGAGAGGAAGGGAGAAAGAGATAGAAACATTGATGTGAGAGAGAAACATCAATCAGCTGCTTCCTGTACGACCCCCACTGGGGATCGAGGCTGCAACCCGGGCATGTGCCCTGACCGGGATTCGAACCAGGACCTCTCAGTATGGGACAATGCTCAACCACTGAGCCACACTGGCTGGCCAGATTGGCATATTTTTAATGAAATTTTTGAAAATATATAATTATAAAAGCAGGCATTCCAACTTTTAGAATAAAAGTAGGACCATTCATCATAAAATTAATGGTGTTAGTTTATGGACTTGGTTTTTCCTTTGTGTTCACTGTGACTTATTGGCTCAGGTGCTTTAGCCTATTTGGAATCCAAATCTCTCATTTTTGCCCATTAGCGTGTCTAGTATAATGTCAATTGGAGGAAGTAGTTCTTTACGTTACCATTAGTTGCATTTTGTCTGTTAAAATTTCATGTTTAGGCCCTGGCCGTTTTGGTTCAGTGGTTAGAGCGTCAGCCCGTGGACCAATGAGTCACAGGTTCCATTCCAGCTAAGGGCACGTACCTTGGTTGTGGTTTGTTCCTGGCCCTGGTCAGGGTCATGCAGGAGGCAACCAGTTGATGTGTCCCTCACACATTGATGTCTCTCTCTCTCTCCCTTTCCTTCCTTCCCATTCTATCTGAAGATAAATAGAAAAATATCCTTGGGTGAGGATTTAAAAAAAATTTTTCATGTTTGGTTTTAGAGGTGGTGGTTTAGATGATCCATTTAATCTGCATATGTATCTGAGATGAAATATTATCAATAAAAATGGTGATGCCTAGGTATGTCTTGACTAATTTGAATCATACCTGTACTTTATGTACCATATTCCTGTGTACAATGATAGCCTTCTTTGATTTAGTACAGTACCAATTATGAGCAGTGCCCTTGCTAGTTTCTTTACAACAGTGTTATGGGGAAGCTGTGATTATCCCCTCCCCCAGCACACATCCTTTCATTGATAAGGAAATTACGACCCCAGGCGGTTCCGGCCATTCAGCTAAAAAGTAGCAGAGTCTTAATCCAGGTCTCTCGGGCTCCCAAATCTGTGCTCTTCTCGTCCCATTTGGGCCTCCTTATTTGCCTTTGCACTTGACTTTGTGCTTTCAGATGAAAGGCACCGGGAGGTGATGTCCCGGACTCTGCTCTGGCCTGGGCCAGTCCTCTGAGCAGCTCACAGTTAATTGAGACAAATCAAGCAAGGAACTGACTGGATGGTTTCTGAGGCCCCTTCCGGCTCTGCAGTATGAAACTAGAAAAACCATATGGAGTTGCTTTGTTGGTCGTTTAGTGTTCCATGTCTATCAATTGTATAGAATTTATGAAAAGATTTAATGTAAAACTTGAAAAAAAAATAACCTGTATTTTTAAAGCTTTCACCAGTGGCCCCAGGACGATCAGTTCACCAGAGGCTTCCTTTGTGTTGCAGACGGACTATGAGGGCCAAGCCAAGAAACTGCTGGAGCTGCTGGAGAACACGGACGTGATCATCGTGGCCGGCGGAGACGGGACTCTGCAGGAGGTATGGGGAGACAGGTTGATCTGAGAGCAGTGGTGTGACGTGCTTATAATGTGAGGAAATCATCTCTTTGGAATCCATGTTTTAGGATTGTTTCTGAAACAAGTACAAATTTTTCACACTTTTTTTTTTAGTCTGCTAAAATTGAATAAAACATGAAACAAAATGGTGGTGGGTATGAGCTTTTTATATTTTGAACACTGTTTGTTATGGGAATCATAGTTTCAATGATGAGGAATATTTCTGATAAAGTAAACAATTAAAGATTCCCTTAAAAAAGGTATCGGGCGCTGGCCGGTTTGCTCAGTGGTTAGAGCCCGGGTTCAGTTCCTGCTGAGGGCGCGCACCTCAGTTGCAGTTTGTCCCCGGCCCCGGTTGGGGTCCTGTGGGTGGCAACCAGTTGATGTGTCTCTCTCACGTTGATGTTTTTCTCTCTCTCTTCCTCCTTTTCTCCCTCTTGCTCTATCTGAAGATAAATGCAAAAAAGTCCTCAGGTGAGGATACAAAAGAAACAAAAAGGCATCGGTCCATTCTCAGTTCATTCCCATCACGATGGTCCCCTGACCGCACACTGAGAGGCAGAGGCCTCCCGTTCAGAGGGGCGCATCGCCTTCACTCTGCGGTTCCACACCCTGGTGCGTACTGAGGTCCAGTGAGGACGGGAGGCGTGCACCCCGAAGTGCTCTTCCCAGCAGTGGACTAGAACCTGCACTGGGTATCAGACACCGCAGGGCCCATGCGGGCAGCCCTGCCACTCGGTCCTTCCCAGGAGTGGGCTAGAACCTGCACTGGGTATCGGACACCGCAGGGCCCACGCGGGCAGCCCTGCCACTCGGTCCTTCCCAGGAGTGGACTAGAACCTGCACTGGGTATCAGACACCGCAGGGCCCACGCGGGCAGCCCTGCCACTCGGTCCTTCCCAGGAGTGGACTAGAACCTGCACTGGGTATCGGACACCGCAAGACCCATGCGGGCAGCCCTGCCTCTCGGTCCTTCCCAGCAGTGGACTAGAACCTGCACTGGGTATCGGACACCGCAGGGCCCATGCGGGCAGCCCTGCCACTCGGTCCTTCCCAGCAGTGGACTAGAACCTGCACTGGGTATCGGACACCGCAGGGCCCATGCGGGCAGCCCTGCCACTCGGTCCTTCCCAGCAGTGGACTAGAACCTGCACTGGGTATCGGACACCGCAGGGCCCATGCGGGCAGCCCTGCCTCTCGGTCCTTCCCAGCAGTGGGCTAGAACCTGCACTGGGTATCGGACACCGCAGGGCCCATGCGGGCAGCCCTGCCTCTCGGTCCTTCCCAGCAGTGGGCTAGAACCTGCACTGGGTATCGGACACCACAGGGCCCATGCGGGCAGCCCTGCCTCTCGGTCCTTCCCAGCAGTGGACTAGAACCTGCACTGGGTATCGGACACCGCAGGGCCCATGCGGGCAGCCCTGCCTCTCGGTCCTTCCCAGCAGTGGGCTAGAACCTGCACTGGGTATCGGACACCACAGGGCCCATGCGGGCAGCCCTGCCTCTCGGTCCTTCCCAGCAGTGGACTAGAACCTGCACTGGGTATCGGACACCGCAGGGCCCATGCGGGCAGCCCTGCCACTCGGTCCTTCCCAGCAGTGGCTAGAACCTGCACTGGGTATCGGACACCACAGGGCCCATGCGGGCAGCCCTGCCTCTCGGTCCTTCCCAGCAGTGGACTAGAACCTGCACTGGGTATCGGACACCACAGGGCCCATGCGGGCAGCCCTGCCTCTCGGTCCTTCCCAGCAGTGGGCTAGAACCTGCACTGGGTATCGGACACCACAGGGCCCATGCGGGCAGCCCTGCCTCTCGGTCCTTCCCAGCAGTGGGACTAGAACCTGCACTGGGTATCGGACACCACAGGGCCCATGCGGGCAGCCCTGCCTCTCGGTCCTTCCCAGCAGTGGGCTAGAACCTGCACTGGGTATCGGACACCCCAGGGCCCATGCGGGCAGCCCTGCCTCTCGGTCCTTCCCAGCAGTGGACTAGAACCTGCACTGGGTATCGGACACCCCAGGGCCCATGCGGGCAGCCCTGCCACTCGGTCCTTCCATCCTGTGTCCAGTCCACCGCCTTCCCCCATTGGTGCTTTCATCCCTGTTCAGGAAGCAGGAGACCACCCTGTGTTTGACTCAGCAGTTCTGTGAGCCTTAATAGCTTCTTTTATAAAAGATGGTGCAGATGATCTTGTGATTGTTTTTATGAGGTTTTTTTTTTAATCCTCACTCGGGGACACTTTTTGCATTTCTCTTCAGATAGAGCTGGAGGGAGAGAGGGAGGAAGAGAGAGAGAGAAACATTGATGTGAGAGAGACACATCAAGTGGTTGCCACCCACACGGCCCCAATTGGGGTCAGGGACAAACTGCAATCGAGGTACGTGCCCTTAGTGGGAAAGGAACCCAGGACTCTCTGGTCCCAGGGCCGACCAAACCGGCCAGGGCTGTGTTTACAGGTTTTTAATGAAGTGTGAATACTGATAGCCTGCCAACAAAGAAGGAAGTAGACCTGCTGATGGCCGGTTTAACCCTGAAATGCAGGGAGGCCAGAGGTGAAGGGAGCCCTGGGCATCAGCCTGTACTTTACAAAACATTCCTAAGAAAGATACCAAATCCTGTATCTGGGATCATCCAGTCATAAAATTGTGCCCCAATGAAAAAGGAATCAGAGGGAAATGTACCAAAATATAGACACTGATTAGTGATGGTTCTTCTGCATGATGGGTTTACGAGGAAGTATATTTTTACTTTGGGTATTTTTCAGTTTTTACAAGACATACATACATACTATATTTTGAAATATCCTTTCAACAATAAAATAAATTAAAAAATAAATTATGTAGACATTCAAATAAAAAATATGTTTTCATAGGGAGAATACTCTCCTCTTTGTCTTGACCGTTATCAGTAAGAAACATTTTGGAGAGCAGTCTTCTCTGAGTGGGTTTTTTCCTACACATGTGCTTCATTGTAGCAGACGAGGGTCTTCTGTACAATTACTTTGAGCAGCACATCTGTACCCGTCCTCTAGAACTTAAACTATAGTTTTGCTAATGTGGAGATTTTATCATTATTTTATCTAATCTTGTCCTATGGGCCTTTGGTCAACAGTAACAGTTATTTAGCTCTGATCCTACTGGGGAATACTGTGTTTCAAGAGCCAATTCAGCTTTTGATGTAGTTTCTAGGAAGAAACCAAGAACAAGTTTGTGGCCCGTGAAAACTGAATCCAGTTCTTTTATGATGAAGGAAATACATGTTCATGACTTTTTTTTTAACATTTGCAGGTTATTACTGGAGTTCTTCGAAGAGCAGATGAGGTGAGCTTTTAAGAAGAATCACTGCATTTTAGCTTTTATGTTCCTGTTCTTTTTATGTCTCTCGACTTCCTTTTACCTTTTTCCCCATTTTATATTGTAAGTCAGCACAAGCTGTGTGTCCTTGGGTGTTAGAAAGACGCAGGCTGCCGGGGTCCTCGGGCACTATCAGCCCCGGCGGACTTTCTGCTTCGGGAACACAGAGCTTCCTTTCGCCAGGAGGTGTCCAAAATACACGGTTTTTTTTTTAGACAATCTTTTTTTAAAGGATTTCTTTGTAAGTAAATTGCGATATAGATATTTCATGGTGAAATCGGAAAAATAGTAAGTAAAACAGGCAGGTTGCCAAAGTATGTTATGCATTTCTGCAGAGTGTTAAAATGTAGCAAACACGCCCTGTTAATGGAGTGGAGAGTGCTGGGGGAGGGGCGCATCGGGCCCGGGATCACAGCGTCCTCTGGGAGCCGAGGGGGAGGGGAGCATGGGCACCTACCTCAGCGTATCTGTATCATTTCTTTTCTTAAGACATCTGAAGCAAATATGGACAAGTGTAATATTTGTAAATCTGCGTCATGGATGTATGAGTGTTTGTGACATTTTTTAAAACATTTTTCTACAGTAGTTTAAAATATTTAGCAAATGACAAGAAAGAAGACCCTCGCCCATCCATTGGGTAATAATAGATTGTTCTGGAAACAGTCTTTAGGAACCTTTAGCTACTCAAAACCCGCGTATTCTCTTCACTTCCGTTATACTTGAGATGGTTTACAAAGCATGTTCGTCTCGTCAGCTACTGTACGTGTTAGATATTTTTAGTTGAGTTTTATCTGCAACTTTTTCAAATAGTGTGACAACATAATACAGCCTCTGTCACAATTGTGCATTCGTCTAATATCTTGTAGACCCTCCTTGAACCAAAATGTATCTTTCAAATGCAAAGTCATGTTGTTTCCATGGACTGCCTCCTTGTAGGAACTGCTCACTAAGTATTGCCTGGTTGCTGGTCCCGGGGTGGGAAGGGAGGCAGGGTGGTGGGCCGGGGTCACTTCCAGTTACTTGTCATAGTAGACATGTCTGTGCCTCTCTGTTCAGCCTGGTTTTCTGACCATAACAAAAAAACTGTCCTCTTTCTCCCCAGGCTACCTTCAGTAAGATTCCCATCGGATTCATCCCCCTGGGACAGACCAGTAGTTTGAGTCAGACCCTCTTTGCCGACAGTGGAAACAAAGTCCAGTAGGTTGTCAATGTGGGATGGTGGCATCTGTGGCTGAGTGGGCCTGGGAATGGCAGATTCACACGTGGGACCTGAAACCTCAATCACTGAGAGGACCTAGATCGGAGACTGACCTTTCAGCTCACTGGGAAGTTTCCCTGTGGCTTGTGGGGCTCTGGTGATCGAACATGCAGTCTCCAGGGCAGGCACGGAGGTGGACACTCACGTCCTCTGTCAATTATAAAGATGGCCCCCCTGATTCAAACTGTTTTCATGCTTTCATGTTGTGAGATTCTCTAGTGAAAACAGATTTGCACTAATCATTTGTTTGCTTTAAATATACACAATGACAAATCGATGACAAATAGCAAGTCCCTTGTGCAAATGGATCCAGTAGCCTTGGCTTCATTATCTTGATAACATAAGTAGCTGAAACCACGACACAGAGTCCCATCCTTCAGGGAATGCCTAAGTGGGAGGCATGGACAGGCAGCCGGGGAGCAGTGGGGTCCGGGTGTCTAAATTACATCGCTGTGAGTCTGACGGTGTCCTCCGGAGTTGGCAAATTGTTGTTATTGTTCGTTTCTCTCCAAAGCAGTATGTAAACAAGGCTCTCATCTCCAAGTAGATGGGAATATTGAATCTGAGTCTTGAATTTGACAGTGGTTAATAATGTAATCTCAGCAGATCGGCTCCAGACTCCCATCGCCAGCTGCCCTATCGTTAAAGTGAAACCTGTGACACCTGGGGGGAGGGCAACAGGTAGATGTCGAATGACCTCATTAAAATCTTACGCTATTTTCTGCGGTTACCCTTTAGAATCAATAACAGTACTAATACTCAGGTGATTTTCTTCTGTCAATTTTTTCTTTGGGATTTTGATTAGGCTGGTTTTGTAGCTTTATTTTTGCTGTTGTATGAATCATCTCTTTTGACATATATATACATACACACACACATATATATACATACACACACACACAAACACACACACATATATACATACACACACACACACACACATATATATCTTTATAAAAGCCTGGGTCTGTATATGAAGCACTAGGCATAAACGTAGATGTATATCAGATTTTCATTGAAACATGGCTTGTATTTCATGCTTTAATCTCAAAGGGGTGGTAGCTCCTCACCCACCATCCTGAGCCCATTCCAGTTTGCCATCCTTTTTATTCCCGGTTTAGAGTGTCTGAGAGGCGGTAGACCTGGCAGTGAATTACTGAGTTTTGCTTATCCAGGATAAGTCCTGTCTGGTTTGAGTCTTGGTTACTAGAGAGCTAGTCTTTCCCTTTGTATCAATACTGATTATTTGAACTGCGGAGCCAACATTCCCAAATGTGCCAGGGATCAGAGGGAGAACATGTCCCTTGGAGAACTCCTTGCCTGTCCAAAAGCCAATGTGTGCTCTGCGTGACCACCCTCAAGGTCTTCATGCCTTCCGTTTTGGGGGAGCTGATTTCCCCCTGTAGTTAAGCTAATGCCGCTGCTTCTAGTTCTAATTTAAAGATTGAGAAAACTTAATTGAGAGTGTGCCCCAGGGCTCTTAGGTAATTAAGTCATTCTGCCCTGGGTTCAGAACTGTGCCCACCTCTGAACATGGCAGATGCCTGAGGCTACTGGAAAGAACAGGCTTTGCTCTTTGTACTGCTGTCAAGATTTGTTGTACCACAGTTAGTATGGAAGAAAAGGAATCTCAGGTTGGAATGCTGCAGGTGAATTAGCATAAAGAAATAAGTTGTGTGCCCGGTGCTGATCTGCCCAGAGCCTGCAGTTGTTGCTGGAGAAGGATACATGTAGGTTACATTGTAGCTGTCTTCTGCCAAGCAGTTTTGAAAAAAAAATTATTATAAGGTTTTTTTTTTTTTTAGTTGTAACATTTGTTTTTAAGGTCAATCTCTCAAACAAATATCCCAGGATCTCACATATATGTGGAGTCCAATGAACAAAATAGGACCAGAGGCATGTATGCATGGACCGGACGGCAGATCTCAGAGGGGCAAGGGGGTGGGGAGATGGGAGGAGATTAACCAAATAATTTATATGCATATATATGCATAGCCCAAGGACATGGATGGTGCTGTGGTGAAAGCCTGGGGTGGGGCGGGGCTGGGTGGAGGGGTGCTGTGGGGGGAGGATGCAGATATCTGTAGTAATGTCAACAGTAAAATATAAACTTAAAAAAATAAAAAAAGCTCTTCCTAACCTTCTCAATGTACTAACTACTACACAGAGTAAGTACAGTGCTTAGGGATCCTTTCTGCTATCTTCGTGTGCCTTGCTTTTTCCTAAACTGAATCTCATTTTCTAAACTGTTACCTACTTCACAGATAGTTTCTGTATTAGAAGGGAAAAAATGGGGTAAAGGCGTTTTGATAGAGAAATATGAGAAAGTAAAATAGGTTATTCCTTACGTTCCAGCTTGCTTAATAAGGAACCCAGAATTTAAGCATTTGCGTTAACGTGTATATTTTTGGGTTTTGAAGTATCTGAAGTTGTACCTAATTTTGTTGGCAACATCCATTCAATTCTTGACTTAGGTGTTTACATTTTAAGCCTGACCATGAAACCAGACACAAAATGAGTCTGAGGATGCCTGTCACTACTTGAGCCAAATTAAGCAGAGACAGGGTTGAATCATGTATGAGCGTTTATTCCAGCAATGTCGGCAGTATGGAGAGAGCAGCAGGTCATCCTGAAAATTCTGCTCTAACGTCTCCTATTAGTTGGCTGTTTATTTGGGGTTAACGAAGAAGGGCTACGTGCAAGGGGCAGGATAAGGGCCGCAGGATCTGTGGTCCATGTGTCTCCTTCTAGGATCTTGAAGTCCAATAACAAGGTAGTTCATTTTCTATGATGTTAAAAACAGCTCTGCCTGTTCCTGGAGCCGGAGAATGGTCAGCATTCCTGAGGCAAACTCCAGGAGGGGTCAGGGTCCAGGCACAACCAAGTCAAAGCATGTCCTGTCCTTGGTCTGTTCTGAAAAGGTATTTCTTTTCTGAGAAATGGACCCACCTGGGCTCCAAGGCATCTTATCTTTTTACAGCCCTGTTTTTCTTCTTGCAACACGTTTCAGTTTCCCAGGATCTGTAAGAAAACCTCTTACCTATAGTTAGTAAGGTGAATAATCAGTAAACAACTGATCTATTCCTGTTCCATGCCCTTTCCCCCATCAACCATACTGATGGGGGGGTCTGTAGGGCACAGATAATTAGATGTGGGCCTGCCCTTTGGGAATCCCTGGTTCTGCATTTGGTGTGTGCAGAGCAGCCTCACAAGGTGCAGAGAACACACCTTCGGAGTGAGGCCTGAAGCCAGATTTTGTTCTGCCACCTGCTTGCTCTGTTGTCTTGGGAATTTTATTTAATCTCTCTGAACCTCACTTTCCTCCCCCATTTTGTCAAATGTACAATAATAGTACTTATTTTAGAAGATTGTTTAAAAAAATGAAAATGACTAGTTAGGTAAATAAGTAATTATGCATAGCAAACTACCCAATACATTGAAGATTTTATGCGTATTATTGAAAATTAGGATGGAAAACAGTAAATAATAGGATGACTATGCAATTACTGAGTCTAGACTCTACAATTAAATTCTCTTGCAAACTGTTTCACCTAGAAAGTATTTAAAAAAAGAAAGAAGGAAAAGAAAGAACATTTTATAGGTGTTCTAGTCAGTTGCCATGGAAAGGTGACTTTCCTACCAAATTCTCATGATTAATCAGAGCTGTACAGAGCAGAATAAATTAGGAGGAGCCATACTGAGAGAGAAACTATTCTTTTTAAAAATGGAACCTAAAATAATTTATAAATAACTTATGTCTTACACCTGTACTTAAACTCTAGATACACTACATTTTTTACTTTAGTACTAATAATAATTACTCTATTTTAAATATATAATGAATAAAGGCAGTAGAATACCACCATTGCTAAATTTTTAGAAAAACATGAAATGCTTAGAGATAAGTCTGACAAAATAGGTATAAGATTTATATGATGAAAACTGCAAACATTGGAGAGGAGCTGAGACCGAGCTGAACGGAGAGAGATCTGTGTCCATGGGTTTCAAAGCTCCACATTTAGCTGTCGGTTCTCTGAATAGACCTACAAATTCTGCACAATCCCAATCAGAGTTCCCGAAGACTTTTTGTAGGAATTGGCAAGTTGAATCTAAACTTTATATGGCAAAATAGAGAGCTAGAATAGATAGAATAGCTTTGAAAAAGAATACAGAAGTTTGAGGACTTAACCCTGTCCGATTTCAAGACTGAGTCTAAAGCTCCAGTAACGAAGGCAGCATGGTGCTGGCAAAGGAGGAAACACAGAGCTCAGCAGCAGCAAGTGTCCAGAGTTAGGCCCAACATATGTGGAAATGTGATTTTTCAACAAAGGCCCCAAGGCAATTCAATGGAGAAAGGACAGTTTTGTTTTTCCAACAAAAGGTGCTGGAATAGACAACCTCATGTAAGAAAATGAACCATAATTCATACCTCATACTACACATACAAAGTAACATGAAATGGATCATGGACTATATGTAAAAGCTAAACATGTAAAAACTCTAGAGGAAAATCCTTGTGACCTTGGGTTAGGCATTGATTTCTTAGGACACAAAATGCAGAAACCATAAAAGAAAAAAAAAAAAAGATAATTTGGACCTCAGGTAAATTGAAAACATCTATTCTTTGAAAAGCACTGTTAAGAAAATGAAAAAGCAAGCCACAGATTGGGAGAAAATATTTGCAAGACATATTTGATAAAGGACCAGTATCCAGAATATACAAAGAGCACTCACAACCCAATGATAAGAAAACCAGCAGCCTAATAGAATGGCAAAATACTTGACCAGACTCATCAATGAACAGACAGGGATGGCAAATAAGCCTATGAAAAAAATATTCATTATTAGCTGTTACGGAAATGCAAATTAAATCCACTCTGACATGCTACTGTGCATCTATCAGAATGGCTTAACCAAACCAAACAAAAATCCGATGTTCTCACGCACTGACAAATATGTGGAGCAACTGAAACTCCAGTGCTGGTGGGAGTGCAGAATGGTGTGTATCACCACTGTGCAGAACAGTTTGATACTTTCTGACGGAATGCCACTTATGAGCAGCAATCACACACTTCTTGGTATTTACCCCAAAGACACGAAGACATGTCTATACAAAAACCTGTATGTGAATGCTCATAGTAGCTTTGTGTGTAACTGCCAAACCTGGGAGCAGTGCCAATGTCCGCCAGCTGGCTGTGGTGCGTCTGTATGATGGAATGGTACTCTGGGAAAGAAACAACCTGTCCATGAGTTGAACAACATGAATGAATCGCAGGCTCATGCTAAGAGTTTTAAAAAACTGAACTGGAAAAGATCCATAGTTTTAAATTCAATTTGTATGACATTTTGGAAAAAGCAAAACTATAGGTACAGAAAATATGGTCATTTCCAGGAGCTGATGGGTGGTGAGGCGGGTGTGTGTGCAGAGTGGCCACAGGGGCCATGAGGGCACCTTCTGGGATGTTGGAAGTGTTATGAACCTTGGCCCTGGTGATGGTTACGTGACTGAAGGCATTTGTCAAAATTGTAGAGTAGTATACCTAAAAGGAAGAAATTTACCGTGTATAAATTATATTTCAATAAATCTGACTTTTAACAAGTTAACGTATTAAACTAGTCCTTTTTTTTTGTTTGTTTGTTTGTTTGTTTTTAATCCTCACCTGAGGACATTTTTCCATTTTTCACTCAGACAAAGCGGGAAGGAGAGAGAGGAAGAGAGAGAAACATCGATGTGAAAGGGACACATCGAGTGGCTGCCACCCACACGACCCAACCAGGGCCAGGGACAAACTGCAGCCAAGGTACATGCCCTTAGCGGGAACCGAACCCGGGTCTCTGTGGACCACAGGCTGACGCTCTAACCGCTGAGCCAAACCGGCCAGGGCTAAACTAGTCCTTTGAAACTTAAACCTACTCGCATGATGAAGCATGAGGGAGGAGCTGTTAGCTTCTCCTGCACTTGGTTCGAAGGGACACGGCGCCTGGGGGCACTGTTTCTCCTCCTTTGCTCTAGTTATCAGTTGGCCCGTACCCACCGCTGCAAGTCATCCTTTTGGGACAGTCTGAATGTCAGTAAGGCCGTAATCTATTGAGCATATCAAATATTTTTCAATTCATTCATGAGTTTTATAAAGATACTAAGAAAAATAAAAATGAAAAATTCATTGATCACTTTTAGAGGATAATTGGGAATCAGCTGATTTTGAAGATTGGTAAAGTAAAAAACAACACAAGTATTTATGCTGATTTTCTTATTGACCCTATATTTCAGGGCACCGACACTGTTGATGAGGCAAAGTTTCTCTTTGTACACCAATTTAATTAGAGGGTAAATAGAATTAAAAGATCACCACTTTGCAACTCTGTTAATAAATTCAGCCAATGATTATTGTTTTCTGTCATCACAAAAAGAGGGACAACCAGATTTTATGTACTTGCTGATGGAAATACCCCCACCTATAGAGTATTTTTTGCCCAAAACTCAAAGCTGACTCTGATACAGATTTTCCATTTTCAGGAAGTCCAGGGAATGGAGACACATTTTAACACCATGGGGATGGAATCAGTAAAACCCAAACCCTCAGAAACTCAGGGAGACAGCCCGTTTCTTTAACAGCAGGGAAGAGAAAAGCACAGGGAGCTATAGGTTAGGAGAGACTTGAGACAGAAACTAACTGCAGTGCAGAGATCTTATTTGGACTTTAATTTGAATAAAGAAATGACACACACACACACACACACACAAAATCCCCCCTGAACTGTTTCTAAGCCTGGCTTAGTTTCGTGCCATGAACAGATGCTTAGAGTGCACACATTTTTACCTATAGATTTTCAACTGACTATCAGAATGTAAATGGGAACAGTATTGTGTCTTTAAACAAAAGAACCAGCAATTAAATTGAAGTACATCCTAGTAATCTTGAAAAATAAGAGGAGTATGTCTTGGGTTCTGGATTACATTTTTCTAAGATAACGCGAACGATCCCTGCCCTTTACTTGCCCTTGGGTGGTTGTTAGAGTAATACGGGGTATGGCTTTGTGAAGTGCTTGAATTTCTCAAAATGAATGAGACATGTTCTATTATTACTTCTTTAAGTAGTATCATATTTCCACTGATCAGGATCAGGCATATTGTGGAGACTCAATAACTAGTAAGTAAATAAATGATTGGTACCTTGTATAAACTTCTCTTTGCAAAGCCTTCGCTCTGATCTATATCAGAGCCTTCCGCTATATTTGTGTCAGTCGTTCTTTTATACTCCTTTGTTCCGTTTTCTCAGAGTATTTTGAAGGACTATGTCTTTGTTTCCTGAGCCAGTTATTAATACCATGGGCAGGGGAGGGAGAGGGAGAGGGAGAGGAGAGAGAAAGTGTGTGTGCGGTGGGGGGAGGTGTTGCTTATTTTCCACACATGACCATTTCCTTCTTGTTATCTTTTAGACATATTACTGATGCTGCACTTGCCATTGTGAAAGGGGAGACAGTCCCACTTGATGTCTTGCAGATCAAGGTACAGTCCTTTCTTGAGTGTGAAAATATGAACAAAGTAACACCCATGAAGAAAACAAGGTAGCAGTCCAGATGAGAAAATGAGATGCTTTCCTACTCCAAGCATAACTTCCCAGAGAAAAATTATTTTACCTGTTTATTCTAGTCACCACCAATAAATATGCTTATAATGCTCTTAAAAGTTGTTAAAAGTATACATAAAATTTACCATTATAACCGTTATTAAGTGTCCAGTTCAGCACTTTAAGTATATGATATTAGTTTTTGATTTATCAGTTTTAGACCTTATCTCTTAGCCTCTTTGTTATGCATGAAAATTGCTCTCTATCTCCTCCCAATATAGTTATGTCACTATTTTTAGTTCCTCTGTGGATTAACTTGGGACCTCAGTGTTTCTCTGCCTCATATGGCTGTTTTGAGCATTAAAAGAACTACTAGATATAAAGCACTAGGACAGGCCTGATTTCATCTTACCTGTCTGCGTGGTGGCCTCTGTCTCCCATGTTCTGCCAAAGGTGAAATCCTTCTCTTGTCCCATCTGTCCTTTGCAAGGGTTCATCTTTCCTTGGAATTCAGGTTACCTGGTTGTCTTATAACTGCAGCCCTCTGATAGGCATAAGAAGTATTGTGATTTTGTAGATTGTTCTCATTTTTAGGGTGGGAACACTGTTCTTCGTAACTTCCTACATCCTAGATGGGAGCAGAACTTCCCATTTTTCTCTTTTTTTTTATCCTCACCCGAGGACATTTTTTCCCCCCATTTTTTGTTCAGATAGAGTGGGAGGGAGAGAGAGAGAGAGAAACATCGATGTGAAAGGGACACATCGAGTGGTTGCCACCCACACGACCCAACCAGGGCCGGGGACAAACCGCAACCGACGTATGTGCCCTTAGCGGGAACCGAATCCAGGTCTCTGGACCGCAGGCCAAGGCTCTAACCGCTGAGCCAAACCGGCCAGGGCAGAACTTCCCATTTTTCTGTTGGGTTGTTTAACACTTTCTGATTGATTTGTAGAGGAACTCATGAATTGTTTATATATTTGCTGGCTCTGCAAATATATTGCTTAGAACCAGTGACACCCAGCAGCAACCAGCATACCTGGCACCCAGATTTTGGTGTCTAAGTCTGTTCTGTAAGATGCGTTACCAGGACCCGGAGGGCTGGCTTTCAGAGGCGGGGCCAGGACAGGGCAGAGAAGTGCTCAAAGCCTGAGGGGCAACACCGAGGCGTAGGGACCAGCCTGATGGAATCCTGCTGGGCTGTTTGGGGACAGTTGGAACATCAAAGAGAACAGTGCTAATGGAATATAATACATTAGGTAAAAATGGAGACTCCATGAGTCCACAGGGTATTACAGGAGAATTGCCAGTCAGTAAATGCAGAAGGAATGACAGAGGGAGAGAATTACTGCTTGATAATCACCAGAGAAATCGTTGATTCAGGCAGAGACCCTCAATGGCTGCTAAAACTATTAGATAAAAGGTAGAGATGGTGCAGTGGTTAGAGCGTTGGCCTGTGCTCCAGAGGGTTGCAAGTTCAATTCCTGGCCTTGGTCAGGGTGCGTACAGGAGGCAACCAATCAATGTATCTCTCACATTGATGTTTCTCTTTCTCCTCCTTCCCCCTCCCTTCCACTCTCTCTAAAAATCAATGGAAAAAATATCCGTGTGAGGATTAACAAACAATCAAAGGTTGTTGAGAAATAAATACCCACATAGTATCACAGATTACTTAATAATTTCAAAGGGGAAAATATGCCTTAATATAACTTCCATTCTGAAATGTTGCTGCTGGGTGTATAGCATTGACTGTAAGTGTACTCACAGTCGGCCAACCCATGAGCTTGCAGCCTCTTGTTCCTCATGCAGTGACATCGGGACCCTCCACCATGAGCGCATTGGTCATGATAAACATGATTTAAGCTGCACTTGAGTCTTTGGTATATAATTAAAGCTGAATTGTTCTCACAAAATGAAAGGACTGTGCTGAAATTCTAACCTAGCGAAGTTCCTACAGGTCGGCATCTGTGAAGATACTTTCAAATGTTATCACCCAAGAAGGTGAATCCAGATATATCATAATAACCAAGTGATTTATTGCTTCTTACATATATGTTAAAAGTAATACATTCCAGAGTAACTAGGAATTAACTGGAAATCCTTTTTTTAAATTTTATTTTATTGGTTTCAGAGAGAGAAGAAAGGAGAGGGAGGGGGGGAGAGAGAGACAGAGAGAGAGACAGAGACATCAACTGGTTGCCTCTCAGACGTGCCCTGACCTGAGATCAAACCCACAACCTGGTTATGTCCCGAATGGGAATCAAACTGGCAACCTTTTGGTGCTCAAGACGACACTCAAGCAACCAACTCAGCCGTACCAGCCAGGGATAACTGGAAATTCTTAAATGTCTCTTGTCTCCTTTATGTTTTCCTCTCAAATATGCTGATTTTATGAGTTGATGAAACTGGGTCAGATTAACCACAGGCTCTGAGTACAGCCCAGGAAGGAGCAATCTTTTAAAACCAACTCACAGAAGACAGCACAGCAGCCTCTGCTGTGGTTTCCGAGGCCCTGCTAAATGGGACTTGTCGTCTTGTGTGTCCTCGCTCCCGGAAATTGTTTCAGCAGTTGGGGGAGCGTTCCGTGTAGCTGAAGCCCACTACCACGTTCCTCTTCTTTCAAAGACGGAACCCATCCCAACTAAACATGCAACTGCGGAGTCTCCAGAGATAAAGAGACAGGTCCTTGGAGGCTCTCATTAGCTTTTTGCTCTGTTCAGTGTGCGTTCACATCTCCTTTGGACCTCCAACTCAACGAGGAAGGCAAGGTGTATATTATTAGTACCTTATTTGACAAAATTAAAAAAAAAAAGACCTCTGGTCATGTGACTGAATGTACTGGGGACAGAAATAGAATCTAGACTGTGTGGCTGACGGCCACTGCTGCCAGGTGGCATCCCCGTGGCGCTGTCCCGGGAGGGTTAGAGGGCGTTTTCCCGTGCGGACGTCTGTGGGGCATAGCACTTGACTTTAAGGCAACCAGAAAGGTCCATGGAATCCTCCTAGTTCTTCCTTTCAGGCGGACGCTCAGAGCCTGCCAACCCGAGACCGCCTGGGTGGAGGGGGCGGCGGGCGTTGGCCTCTCCTTTGCCCTCTCTCGTGCCGGCTGAGAGCTTGGCTTCCTGCGTGAAAGCCAGCTCTGGCGTTGCTATGTTCCCTGGCCAGCCAACTTAGGAGGGTAAATATATAAAAATCAGCTCCACTTAGACTATGGTTTACTCAGGTACTTTTACTGAACACTCAGAGTTGATTTCTGACTCTGTGAACATCCTTTTAGAATTTGGTTTGATGAAAACTGGCCGTGACCATTTGCTGGGTACTTACCAGTAGATAGTTCTAGGTTCTTGCCATCATTCATTGACATTAAATGTAATTTCCTTCCAGGGTGAAAAGGAACAACCCGTGTTCGCAGTGACCGGCCTGCGGTGGGGGTCCTTCCGAGACGCTGGCGTCAAAGTTAGCAAGTAAAGGATGACTGTGTGGATTGTGATGATTTTTCAGAAACTCTTCCTTCTGTCCCTGTCTTTGAGGTGTCAGTGTGCAGTGACCCTCTCGGAATAGATGTGGTGGGTGTGGAGGCTGCCTTATGTATGATTGAGAGGGACCAAGGCTTGCGTCTTGTGCAGAAAGGTGGGGGGGGGGGGGGTTCCAGTGTCCTCCACCCTAGCTTGGTGGTGAGGATATTTTTTCTAGATAGACTATTCCAGGCTCAAGCTGGACGAACGGGCACTGGACTGCCTGTCACCCTGCACCCTGCTTATCTGGTGCCACGGTCCCCGAGAGCTGCTGTGGAAGGCCGAGCGGACCGAGGCCCCACGCTGGCCCCGGGGATGGACCGGGGCAGCCCGGGGTGTCGGGAGGTGGAGGGACAGGCCTGCTGAGGCCAGGGCCGTCCCGGCTCTTCGGGGAGTGGACTTGTTTTCGGAGAATTCCTCGAGAAACTCAGCTGGGTGAGCAGTGGTCATGCTCTGTCTGGGCGGGGCTCCTGCAGGCCCAGGGCTCCTGAGGCTGGGCCGCTGTGTGAGGCTCACTCCACACCTGGTGGGTGTGGCTTTCGGCCATGTTTAAAAATCAGGCTTACAGTTTTTTATAGGTTAAATGAATTATGATCGATCTCACACACAGTTTTTTTTTTAAATTTAATTTTTCCTTATTGATATTAGAGAGGAAGAGAGAGAGAGAGATAGAAACATTGATGAGAGAGAACATCGACTGGCTGCCTCCTGCATGCCCCCTACTGGGGATCAGGCCCACAACTGGCATGTAACCTGACCAGGAATCGAACCAGCAACCTCTTGGTGCGTGGTTCACGCTCAACCGCTGAGCCACAGTGGCCGGGCGCACGCAGCTTTCATCTCGCACTTCATAGGCGTTCCCGCCACCATGTCTCTGCAGATTTCTCTCACTGGTCACTTCATTCCCACTAATGAAGTCCTGACGGGGGAATTCAATAGAGAGAAGTCACTGTATTGTTTTACACTCCACGTTATTTAATATTTCACATCTTTCTATTTGCAAGTCTGCTGGGATTATCTTGATTCCACAAGTTACCCTGTGCGTGATGTGCAATGTCAAATAATACCAGCAGCTCCCCGAGAGGAACTGCTCCGTTTTCCTGGACAGAGTCTGGTGAGGACGACTTGCTTTCTAAGATGTGCTGATCAACAGCTAAGCACCAGCACAGGTGGCCCCTCTGGGACTGCCCCTCACACTGGCCCCTGTTCTGATTGATCTGTGAACAAGGGACCTTAAAATTCGGGCTATCTCATACCTCCACGAGGACCATTCTGGAGAAGCGGGGTGTGTGTGTGAAGAAACTAGAGAGGCAGTGACTTTCTGGCCATCAGAAGGCGGCCCGCCTAGTGTCAACACTTGCCCTTGGTGGGAGGAAAGGAACTGTGGACATCCAGACATCAAGTGCCCGTGGGCGTGCCTGTCTGGCTACCTGGGAAGTGAAGCAGATCATCACATTAGCTGGAAAAAGATCAGATGATCCACCCGCCCGGGGTGGCTCAGTGGTTGAGCATCGACCCACGCACCAGGAGGTCGCAGGTTCGATTCCCGGTCAGGGCGCATGCCCAGGTTGTGGGCCAGATTCCCAGTGGGGGGCATGCAGGAGGCAGCCAATCAATGTTCTCTTTCATCAATGTTTCTCTCTCTCCCCCCCCCGCCTCTTCCTCCCTTCCTCTCTAAAATCAATAAAGAAAAAATATTTTAAAAAATCAGTGACAAGGTCTTCGTTAGTAGCCTCACAGTATTGAGCTGAAGAATAATGAGAATAGCTCCACAGTGCTCGCTGGGTGACATCTAGACTCCTCACTGGGCATCCGAGGCCCAGCTTGGCCCAGCACCACCCCTGCCTGCAGTTACGTGTCTGTACGAGCCTTGGCTCTGGCTGTCGCCTCGGTGCCCTCTGTGCCCTGGCCACTCCTCCTGCCTGGAGTGAGCCCTTTCCCTCCGTCATGTGTCTGAACCCAGTGCCGCCTCAGTCCACGCCGCCCGTGTGCTCGTGCCTCGTCGACGAGCGGCTGTTCCAGTGCTGCTGGGCCTCGACGATCTGTCCCTTCTCGGCTCTCCTCGCCAGCGAGGAGCGATCAGTTTATGTAGTCGTTCACTGTTTTCTGTTACCTTTTGAACCATATTTTCTTGAATTATAAGCCCTCAAAGGCAGGAATTATATACTCTCTTTTTCTTTGGTTTCCTCCATAAGTGCTAAATAAATGTGTATCGATCAGAATCAATAGGGAGCAGTTAAGATGGGCCAGTTGGTGACAGATACATTTGAAGAGCGCAATCTACTTTTTACCACTTTTCCAATTCCAAGTAGGCACCGTTGCCTCTTCCGCAGCTTTTATGTATTAAGCAATAGGAGTAGACCCTCTTCACCCCCAGATTTTCCCGTGGCCCTTTAAAACCGCACAGCAGCAGTGATGAGAAGTTACGCTGCTGCGCACATTCCACTGTGTGTGTGTGCGAGTGGGAAGGTGTGGCTTGGGTCACACGTTAGGTCACCAGCACTGCCTCTCCTCGTGGCTTGTCATCCTCTACTCGGTGCTCTTTGGATGTGTACGCAACTGTGTGCCGCGGGTAAGTGTGCACGACAGCGACAGACGAATTCAGAGGTTCAAGGAGACCGATAATAATCCCTCGTGAACCGCAAGGCTCCACCTGCTGTGTAACTCATCGCGTACTGTTTGACATGGCGTTGGAATGCAGATGAAAAACCTAGTAATACTCTTCTGCCAAACCATAATCCCCAAGCCTCCAGAGCGGACACTCATAGTGCAGTTGTAATTTCTATCACATTGATCGGTCCTTTAATATTCTAATTAGATTTTTATCTTGATCTTTCTCAGGTACTGGTATCTGGGGCCCCTAAAAACCAAAGCAGCTCACTTTTTCAGCACGCTTCAGGTAAGTGCATTTTACAATGTAGAACTCTTCCCCGAGTTATGTTGCTGTTACTCCATGATGTGTGTTTTGGATTTTTTTAAAATTTCTTGCTACAGATGTATATGACATGCTCCAGTACTAAAATGGGGGACATTTACTTACATACAAATGCAGAAAGCATTCCTCATGTACCAGCTCCTTCTCTCCGATACCAAGCCCATAGTTCATTTCTTTTTAAAGTTCCGCTTCCCTTTGCCTGTTCATTCACTCCCTCTGGCCAGACAAACCAGAAGAGAATGACCTGTATCTCCTCAGTCATTTGCGTGTCTGTGTTAGTGTCTAGAAATGAATTGGAGATTTGTATCAGAATATGCCTTACCATGCAGCCTGTGCTCGCCAAGTCGGGTCGTGGTTACTGTGGGCGGGCCAGGTGCAGAGCATCCCCATCTGCAGAGGAAGGTCCAGAGGGTGGTGTGGGTAGGCTGTATGCGCAGAGAAAAGCTGGACAATGTGTGTTCATGGAAATGCTGATAGACATCATCCTTGTCTGCGGACTACATACTGTGTTCAGCTTTTATGCAAATCGAAGTAGTATACTCACAGCTTGGCTGACTCATCTGAGGACTGGCAGATGACATTCGAATAAAGTGAAACGTTTGGTTCTTATGCGTGTATGCAGATTATCACGTGGCTTTCTAATTATACAAGTAGTATGTGTCCATTGCAAAACATTGCTCCCTTTACCTTCTAAGTGAGTTCCAGTGAGTAAAAGGCATTATTGCCGTAGCTCGAGGGCATCATCCCTGGCAGAGTGGTGCATGCAGTTGGGAAGGGATCGAGGAACAACACGTGTAAGTTGTAGGACCGGGAGAGGCACACTGCTTCCGCCATCTCGCTAGCAAACGGTCTGTCGTGTGGCCAGCCTGCCGTGTGCCTGGAATACAAAGTCCAAAGACAGGTTTGTGCCCTTGGAAAGTGCCCATGTGCTGGGAGTGAAGTCCAAGTAAGTGGGTCTGGCGAGTGTGATGAGACGCGTGGAGGACAAGGGGGAGCAGAGGGGCTCCTCTGAGGTCAGCGGTCCTCGCGGGGCAGGAGCTAAAGGGCATCCTCGGGGCAGGAGCCGGGATATGTGATGTCACAGTGGAGTGACCCAGTCTTCCACTGTGGCAGTGGAATGGCCGGAAGGGGACTTCGAAGGATAGGTGGGGGCAGCTTGTGGCAGGGGGGCTCTGGCATCTGTCAAAGCACTGGGGACGCATAGAGTCTTCAGCAGGGAGTGACCTGACCAGGTCTGCGTTTTAGAGTTGTTGGGCTGCCCTGGCCAGTTTGGCTCAGTGGTTAGAGCGTCGGCCCGCGGACCAGAGGGTGCCGAGTTCGGTTCCTGCTAAGGGCATGTAGCAGTTTGGTTACAGTTTGCAGTTTGTCCCCGGCCCCAGTTGAGGTTGTATGGATGGCAACCAGTCGATGTGTCCCTTTCACGTCGATGTTTCTCTGTCTCTCTCCCCTTCTCCCTCCCACTCTATCTGAAGATAAATGCAAAAAATGTCCTTGGGTGAGGATAAAAAAAAAAAAGTTGTTGGGCAGCAGCATGGACAAGAGACAGGCGTGGGGAGCTGACGGCAAGGGCGTCAGGAGATGGGTGGCGGTGAGCACTGGCACATGGGGTGGGCTCCGGGGACACGGAGGAGGAACCGCAAAGGTTGGGAGGAGTCCAGGATTCCCAGATTTCTGGTTTGAGGGACCAGTTTGGTAACCAGGGCTTTCCTCTGATGTTGATAATACTGGCTTAAGGTCAGGTTTGTGAACAAAGGTGAGAGTTTCATTTGGGCATCTATGGGGTTCAGCAGACCCGTGGTACAGACCGGGGGGGGGGGTACAGTTGTGACCTAGGTCTGGAATTCAGCAGAGATCTGGGCTGAAGAACTAATTTCAATGTCTTAAGCGTATGAATAGCTTTAAAGCTCTGGGTTTGGTGAAGTTGCCATGGCGAGAACAGATGGCCAGGAATGGCCCTTAGGAGCAGAGAAGAAGCCTGCGAGGTTCTAGGAGGAAGTGGAGGGGAGCGTGCTGAGACGCCGATGAAGAGAGAATCTCGGGGAGGAAGGGCGACCCCAGGCAGCGACGGCAGAGTCCGACTGGAGACCAGCGGGTACTCTGACTCCGGCGGCTCTGAAGGTTTGTGGGCTAAGTGGAGGGCTGAAGCCACGCTGAGAGGCTGAGGACCACGGGGCGGTAAGGAGGTGGAGACGGGTAGGCCGCTCCTTCCAGAGCCTGACTTTGAAGGGAAGGAGGTAGAAAAGGCAAAAGCTAGTGAGAAAACGGGGTCAAGGAGTTGTTTTTTAACTGGAGAGCTATCCACGTCTCTACCCTGAAGCAACAGAGAGAAGAAGGGGAGAGGTGGACGAAAGGAGGGGTCGCGTGGCTGAGCTGGCAAAGTCCGAGAGGAAGTAGAGGGTGTGGGATCCCAAGTACTGGGTTAGCCTTGGACGGGGTGGGACACCTCTCCCCGGAGACGGGAGACTGAAGGGGTGCTCCCGGAAACTAAGTTAGGGAGAGGTCCGGGGGTCTTCGCTGAAGGTGGGAAGGCAGGGGACCTGCTGAAAACGAGGTGGTGGTGGTGGTGGTATGGGGAATATGAAGGAACATGAAATAGGGGGTTTAGAAGGATTATTGAGAGGCACTGAGAACTTGAGACCGAGAACGGGTGTGACACAGGTCAGCTGTCTGGGTGGTCTCCGTGTCGGTGCTCCGCAGCGACTTCCCCTCCAGAGACGGAGCCTGAGGCGAAGGACGAAGCCCGGGGACAAGGCTGCCCCGGCACGAGGGCTCTCGGGGCACACGTGGAAGACAAAAGGCACGAGGGGCCAAGAGCGATGGGAAAAGAGGATGGTTTTAGTAGTTGAGTAAGAGGTGGAGTGAGGAAAGTCAGAATGATTACTTTTCTGTAATTCACCCCTGGAAACTTGAGAACAGAGGGTTAGTTTGCCCTAAGAGACATGTTGGGCACACAAGAATCGGCCAGATGACTAGAATACGGGGCCATCACAGAGTAGGGATGTCAGCGTTGTCGGTGTTCGAGAGGGATAGTTCGGGGAGGCAGGAAGGACCGGCATGGGCTATGGAAACGAGTGTCTGTGGCGAATTCGAGGTGACGCCAAGGGCTGAGGGCGAGGCTGTGTTTCCATTCCTGTGGACGCGGTGACACGGTGACACTAGAAGACAAACCCCGGAGTGTGAGAAGGGTGATCTCTGAAGCAGGAGCGAGAGGCCCTGAGCTGGGCAGCGAGGCTGGGCTGACCTCCGGCCTCCGTGTTGATGAGAAGTGAGGAGGTATCTGACCAAGCTGACTTCCGTCATTTTCCTTTCGGTCACCAGCAGTGTCCCCGCCAGAGATCAGTCCGCGGGCTCACCTCTGCTCACTCACCGGGGGTTCGGACAAGCACGAGCAGTGGCGTGCGTCCCCTGAGTCCTCTGCCCTTGCAGAGCTCAGTGGAGGCAGCAGCCACGGGCTCAGCGCGTGGTTTTCGAGGCAGGCCTTCGGAGGCAGAGGGAGCTCGAGGGTGCCGTGCTCAGATGGGACATCGGCCGGCTTTCTAGCAGTTACGGGTAGAACACTAACTGACCTCTGCAGAGAGGAGCCCCCAGAGGCTGGAACTCTGTGTTCACAACAGATGTTTTTCTCTCCATTTTGAAAGGAGTGGCCCCAGACTCATCAAGCCTCCATCTCGTACACGGGACCTACAGAGAGACCTCCCAGTGGGGCAGAGGAGGCCCCTCCGCGGCCCTCTCTGTACCGGAGAATCCTGCGAAGGCTCGCGTCCTACTGGGCACAGCCGCAGGACGGTGAGCAGCGGGCAGGTGAAGGTTGAGACCCTGCTCGGTGCAGGACTGCGAGCAGACCCCAAATCAGGGTCGGGCGCACCGAGAGCAGACGCCTCTCGAGGATCACTGGGGGGAAGCCTTCTGAGCGCACAGAGCAGGGCCCACGCTAGCAGTGTCCCATGCGTGGGACACCCTGGTGGCCCCCTTTCTGTCACAGACCTTGATGTACTTCTGGCTGTGTTGGTGGGGATGTTTCAGGCGCAGAGACTGCATTGAGGCTGGCCCTATCCTGGGTGTAAGAAGTATGCAGTGGAGAAAGAGGGGCGGTCAGCAGATGGGCTGGGAGGCCAGCCGAGCAGCTGGCCGTGGGTGGCGGGTGGTGGAAGGTAAATGGGAGAAAGTGACCTGTGTCTAATGCATCTGTGCAGCCCTTCCCCGCGAGGTGAGCCCCGAGGTCTGGAGGGACGTGCAGCTGTCCACCATCGAACTGTCCATCACGACACGGAACAGTGAGCTCGACCTGGCGGTAAGTGTGCTTTATTAGAAAAGCAGTTGGCCTCTGGGAGAAGTGACAAAGGCGACACACTCTTCCGCCGAGACAGTGTTTGTATTTCCACCCTGTGCGGGTCGGCAGGAGGGACCGGGAAAGAGGGTGTGCGCGCCTTTTGGAACAGCAGCAGTGAGAAGCGACAGCCGAGCGAAGTGGCCCAAAGCCTAGGGCTCGATCACGTGCTCTGGGCTCTGCTTGCTGGGACGAGGGCCACGGGCCTCTAGAGCGGACAGCTGGCCTGCTCCCATTCGTCACAGGATTAAAAATCATGGAACTTTTGCTTGAGTAAATATCCATTATTTTTGTGACTAAATATGTAGGTGTAGGTCCCCAGGAGAAAAACTATATATACATACCTATTTATGTATATGTACACATGTATATGTACACACACCTGGATGCTGACCTGTGGAGTCCAGTCTATTGATAGGCACTGCCCGGTATGGCAGCCACTAGCCACACTGGCAATTGAAACGTAAATGAATTAGAATTAAGTAACATTGAAAACTCATGCCTGCAGTCATAGGGGCCATGTTTCCAGCGCTCAGTCGCCGTATGCGGCTGGTGGCCATGTGCCGGAAGGCACCGACTACGACACTGCCGTGGCCGCTGCTGCGGACGGCGCACTGGGCGCGGAAACGAAGCAGAGGTCGGCAAGCGGGCTGCCGCCTGTTTCCGTCCAGCCCACAAGCTAAGACGTGATTGTTCATTTCTAAATGGTTGGAAGGGAAAAGAATGGCTAGTTGGTGATACCTGAAAAGTAGATGAAATTCAAGTTCAAATCCATAAGCCAAGTGTCTGGAACACGCCGTGTCGTCCGCATTCATGCGGTCCGAGCCGCTCCCGTGCCGCGGAGGCAGAACGAGGAGCCGTGCCGGAGACTGTGGCCTCGAGGCCTGCGCACTCACGGGCCAGGCACAGGAAGGTGGCTGACCCCTGCGCCGAGGAGGCCTGGGAGTTTATAGTGACGAGAACGCCAGCAGGACGTTACCTGGGCTCTAGACTGATTATGATGATCAGGTTTTGTGCAAATCAGTTGCGCGCTCACGTTGCCCTGGTACTTCTGGGAACTGGCACATGGAATTGCACATATTGGTGAACATGTGAGATGCATGCACTGGAATGTGGATTCCAAGTCAATACTCAGAGCACTGAGTGGTGTTCTAACTGTAAAAGTAATGCATGTTCATTCTGTGACATAACTCCCTTTACCTCCTAAATTAAGAAGTAAATGTAAACAAATAGAACTAGAGTGAAATCTAAGTGATTATCAATATAAACTTGAGGACAAAGGCCTCTTTCTAAGCATGGACCCTGAGGCAAACAGCATATTGATGCATTGTCTATGTATAACTAAAAAAGAAATGACAGACAAAATGTTTAATGACAAATTGGGGTAAGTGATAGAACATGATAACCAGGAGTTAATAGCTTTCCTTTATGGCAAACTCCTTAGGATAGATCAGTCAGAAACGGGCAAAGGATTCATATAAACAACAGGCAAAGGGCAAGAATAGAAATTCACAAAAGAAAGAAAGATGGAAAAAAATCCAAAAAACCTCATATATACTGAATATATACTATGTGCTATGCCCTGTCCTAAGGATTTTCCATATCAGCTCGTGTAACCATCATGTCTAGATTATTAGGTAGCTATAACTTTTGCCTGTATTTCATAGGTAAGAAAACAGAACACGTCTCAACGTCAGAGAAGTGCACATTGAAACAGGAACTACTGAACTGTCACAGATTAACAGGCATGCTGGTGTCCAGTGTTGGTGTGGGCAGGCTCGCTATTTGAGCTGGCATGTAGATCGGAGCACCCCTTCTTGATGGTGTCTTGGCTGTATATCTGAAGCATCTAAAATATAATCATACCTTGAGCCCTGGCCGGTTTGCCTCAGCGGTTAGAGCGTCAGCCTGCGGTCCGGAGAGACCCAGGTTCGGTTCCTGCTAAGTGCATGTACCTCGGTTGCAGTTTGTCCCCAGCCCTGGTTGGGTGGTGTGGGTGGCAGCCACTCGATGTGTCCCTTTCACGTCGATGTTTTTCTCTCTCTCTCTCCATCTCTCTCCCTCCCACTCTATCTGAACAAAAAATGGAAAAATGACCTCAGGTGAGGATAAAAATAATAATAAAATAAAATATAATCATACCTTGGGACCTATTAAGTCTATTTCTAGAATTTATCCTACAGAAGTCATCAGATTAATCCGTAGTGTGGACAGTCCCTGATTTCTTACATTATGGACTTCTGGAAACATTGGTGAAAGTGAATGTATCATGGTTTAAAGAAAACAGATTCTGTTCTAGAGGAATTTCAAAGAGAAAGATAAGATTTCTGATTATGCATGTCCTTTACACCCAATCCCACCTCAGGTGACAGTATTTCCAGCATTTTGTTCATGCTCTTCGACATGTCGTTTTCTCCCTGATGGAGTACCAGTGAGCGGCCGCGTTCACTGAGGGTGTGGTCGTGGCTCATGTCGTTTTCTCCGTGATGGAGTACCAGTGAGCGGCCGCGTTCAGTGAGGGTGTGGTCGTGGCTCATGTCGTTTTCTCCGTGATGGAGTACCAGTGAGCGGCCGCGTTCAGTGAGGGTGTGGTCGTGGCTCATGTCGTTTTCTCCGTGATGGAGTACCAGTGAGCGGCCGCGTTCAGTGAGGGTGTGGTCGTGGCTCATGTCGTTTTCTCCGTGATGGAATACCAGTGAGCGGCCGCGTTCACTGAGGGTGTGGTCGTGGCTCTCTATTAGCCACATGGCAGGCTGAGTGCTTCTCGTCTCCGTGGCAATTACAAAAGTGTATGGCACTGTGCTGCTTATCCCAAGGAGCAGCACATCCATTTTCTGTTTCCACACCTCTTTGCAAAAATAAAAGCAAGTGCAATAAAATATTCAAAGACAATGAAGCTGCCAAGTCATAGCTTAGAATGTTCATTTATCATTTAAAGACATATAATCAGAGTCTCAAAGAGGCTTTAGGGGTGTGGAGTGCGTGGAAATTAGGGTTTCTTGTGCAGTGGTGTTTACTGTGTTTATAACAGCAAAACATTTGAAACAAGCTAATCGGGACCGATTCAATACGTTTCGGCCTTATTTAGAACGTTGTACGTTTACTGGCACGGGGAGATGATCATGTTCAGTGGGAATCCAGCGTGAACGCTTCATATCAAATGATTCCATTTTTGTTTTAAAAAGAGATACTTCCACCTGTAAATGCATTTTGTGGAGGATAGAGGTAAGGCCCAGTTTTATCTTCTTTCCATGTAGAAAGCTGGTGTCCAAGGACCACCTATTGAAACACCGCTCCCCCGACCCAGCACCATCGCAGGGATCCTGGCAGACATCAAGGGTCTGTGGACAGGGAGACGTGTGCTTTCTCTGTTCAGGTCTGCTTCTCTGTAGTTCCAGTTCTGTGCTTCTCTTAATTTTCATTGTTTTTAAGTCCATTTTTTCTTATTTTTGAAGAGTCTCCTGGCTATTCTTGACTCTTGGACCTCTATAAACCCTTTGGAATGTTTATTTTATTAAGTTCCACAAAAAAAGTCTGGTACATTGATCAGAATTACCCTGAGCCTGTGGATCAGTTTGAGGGGAAATGACATTTCGACAGTATTGATTCTCCTATTGAATGGTGCATAGCTCTATATTTACTGAGACTTTTGTTTGTTTTTTCTTTTTTATTGAATTTATTGGGATGACATTGCTTAATAAAATTATATAGGTTGCAGGTGTATAATTCTATAATACATCATCTGTATATTGTATTGTGTCTCCCTCCCCAAGTCAAGTCTCCTTCTGTCTCCATTTTATCCCCTTGACCCTCTTCTGCCTCCCCACCCCTCCCTCTGGTCGCCATCATGCTGTTGTCCAGGAGTTGTTTTGTTTTGGTTTTTGTTTAATGCCATCGCCTTTTCCACCCAGCCCCCAAACCTCCCTCCCCTCTGACAGCTGTCAGTCTGCTCTCTATCTACGAGTCTGTTTCTGCTTTGTTATATTGTTCATTACATCCACATATGAGTGGGATCATATGGTGTGTGTCTTTCTCTGATGGCTTATTTCACTTAGCATAATGTTCTCCAGATCCATCCCTACTGTCGCAAAGGGTAAGATTTCCTCCTTTTTAATGGCCGAGTAGTATTCCATTGGGTAGATTTTTAATGTCTTTCAATAAAGTTTTATCATTTTCTCTATAACATTTTGTCTTTTGCTGTATATATATGCCTGGTTATCTTAGTTTTGGATGTTACTGTAAATAGTATTTCCTAAAATTTCCTTTTTTAACTATCTGATTTAGAAGAACTTTTAATTGATTTTTTTATATTGATACTGAATCAGCAAACTAAATTCTTAATATATTAAGTTTATGGATTCCTTTGGCTTTTCTATCAGTTCAATCATATCAGCTGCAAATAGTGCATGTTTGTTCTTTTCAAATACTTAGCCGTCTAACCTCTGATCTTACCTACGACACTAGCCAGACTTCTGCACAGTGTGGAAGAGAAATAGCGATAGTGATAGGAGCGCTGCTGTCGTTGTCCTGAGGAGAGAGCAAAGTTTCATTGCTTCGTTCTGTTTGATGGGGTTTGTTTTGGGGTTTTTTGTAGATACCTTTTATAAGATTAAGGAAGTTCCCTCCTGTTTCTGGTTTGCTAAGAGTTTATGTTATCATGAGTGGATACTTAGTTTTATCAGGTACCTTTCCAGCATCTCGTCTAAGCTGTCCATGTAGCACAGCACATGGTTTCTGCACTGTGTGCAGAAGAGCAGCCTGGACTTGTATGTATAACTGTCCGCTTGTCCCCTTCGGTGTCTGCCGTACGCGCCAATCTCAGCACGTCCAGAACCGAGCGCCTGGCACCCTGCTTGTTCGCTTTCCCCCAGCGCGGCTGCTTGTAACTCCAGGCTTCCCTTGTTCGGCCACACATCTTGGAGCCGCTCTGGCTGCGCTGCCCCCTCACGTCTGATCTTGGAGGACGTGCTGGTGGCGTCACCTTCTCAGTACTGCCACACTGCGCCGGACCTCCACCGCCGCCTGTCCGAGCCATGCTCTGGGGTTTGCGTGGTCTCCCCCTCCTTCTTCTCCCCTGTATGCTACTCGGAACACGGTAGCCTGCGAGATGTCATTCAAATGAAGTCAGATCTGTTTTCTCTACTTAGAACCTCCCAGTGGCTTGCATTTCATGCAGCCTGACGGCCAGTTCCTTGGAATGGTCTCCAAGGCCCTGCTGCTCTATCCCACCTCCTCTGGCCTCATCCCCACCGCCCCGTCATCCCCACCATCCCCATCATCCCCACCATCCCCATCACCCCCACACCCCTCACCCACGCCCCCCAGCTTCCTCCCGGTCCTTGCACCTGTCAAGCATGCTTCACCTTGGGGTAGCTCGCTCTGGCCCAGACCGGTGGTCCTCTAAATGTGTGCCTTAGGTCAGCAACAGCAGCCTCACTCAGGAACTTTGTTAGAAACAAAAAGCATCGTGCCTCACCTGGATCTACTGACCCATCAACTCTGAGCATGGGCCAGAGTCTGAGTTTTAACTAGTCCTCCAAGTGATACTTGCTCAAGTCTGAGAAGCACTGCCTGGGATCTCACGCCCATTCCCTCACCTCCTCCAGGGGTCTGCTCTGAGGCCACCCTCTCCTGGGCCCACCCGGACCCTCTGTAGAAACATCGCCATTGCCACCAGTGTCACCTGCTCCTTGATCTAGTCCTCTCGTTTTTCATATAGACTCGAATTTACTTGTTTTCTAGTATACTTTATAGTGTATAGTATTTTTATAGTGATATACTCTAACATGCCTCTAACATGCTCTACTGTTTCTTTTATCATGGTTGCTTTTTGTTTGCTTATCCCCTCATCTCCCTGGTAGATGTCAGTTCTTCGTAGGCAGACACTGCTGGGTGTTTGTGGTTCACTGATGTAACCCACACACCCAGAGCTCAGGCAGCGAGTCGGTCTAAGTGAAGCTGAGCGTAGAGCCGTCTTCTGTGCCGTGGCTCCCGGCGCAGAGATGACGCTGCGCTTCGGCCGGCCGTTCCCCTTCGGCGAAGCCGGCTGTCAGCTCGCAGAGGCCCGTGGGTCACCCGGGGCCACAGACTCTGAACCTTTCCACACAGAAACTTCTATTTGAGGCAGACACAGAAGGGATGGGACTGGATTCCAGAGGACCGGGTGCGACTGCTAACTGCTGAGTGGTAGTCAGCTGGGGAGTGAGATTAGAACTAAGTCTGTTCTTGCGGCCACTTCCCTGTAGCTCAGCTCTCCCAGAGCGCCCGCGGCCAAAGGTCTTCCGCATCGCCACGGCGCACACGGATGCCCGCTGAGCTCTGGTCGCACCGAATCGGCACACACGGCACCTAAGGAGCGAGCCTCGGGCACCCGCACCAGGTGGCCGCTGCAGGTGTGCGTGGTGCTGGTGTCTAGTGAGACTTCTGCGGCAGCGGGCTGGAAGCTTGGCCTGCAGGGAGGGAACCCCAGGGACTCGAGCAGCTGTGATCGTTAGTGGCAGAACTTCACAGACCTCCAAGCCTGAGTTTTTATTTATATGTAGTAAGAAACTGGAGGTGGATTGTTATGAATGTAACTTATACCTCAATAAAGGTCTTAATGTAAAAAGAAAAAAAAGGACCAAAAATATTTTCAGGAGTAAATTACTAAAAGTCAGTCCCCTGCATAATACACAGCTTCAAAGTATGAGCCCCCAGGGCTTCATGGTGCCAATGCTGCACTGGCCAGAAGTCAGAATATTAATGTGTCTTCCTCACCTTTTAGAGCACAGAAGACTTCATGAACATCTGCATTGAACCCGACAGTGTCAGCAAAGGGGACTTCATAACCATAGGGTAAGTGGACGGAGATGTCCCAGCCCCAGGGTGGGTGGACGGAGGCGTCCCAGCCCCAGGGTGGGTGGCCTGGTTGGAGGAAGTGAGATGAATCCGCGGCGTGTCGCACTTGGAGCGCCGTGAAGTCTCTGGGAGGAGGAGTTGTCTTGTTTGGCAGGCACAGCATTGTTGCATTCGGGTTGACAGGTAGCATCCCCTCCTCCGTGTGGCCCTCCTGTGCACTCTGGGACGATCAGAGGGTGGGAGTAGTCTACCTTTAGCTGAAATAAAAACCGAGTGTGGCACAGTATCTGAATTTCAGGTTCAGAATGGCTGGATTCAGCCACTTTCTGGCCTCCTGTTTTGGACAAACCCTTACTTCTCCGAGTCCCTTTCCCTGTGTGGACAGGAGCAGTCACCTCTGTCTGGGGAGAGCCTTGTTCACTGTGACACACTTCACAGTATCAGCCTGTCCTCTTCTCAGGGATTCGTGAAAACCTGAAAGGTATTGAGTTTGGGACATTTTCAGGTTTCCCCTCCCCCACAAAAACGTTCTGTCTGGTTTGTTGAGCCCTACCACGGCCAGTTTATTGATGAAGAATGCTCCAGGCCTCCCCGTCTCCAAAGCATCTGAGCAGCACCTGTTACCATGCCGACTGCTAGTCGCTCCCTGTGCTCTGTGCTCTGGCTCAGAGCTCCCCCTCGTGCCTGTTGGAGGGTCAGACGTGTCTGCCGCGGGGGGGGGGGGGGGGGGGGGGTCCTCCATGGCAGCCTCATCTGTACCCGCCACATGATGTCTTTCATTAATTTGTGGCTTTTTTTTTTTTTCAGCCTTGTCAAAATAAGGCCACCAAAATTTTGGTTGCCTCCAAAAAAAATATGGGAGAGAGAGGAAGTGTTTTTGCCTTTGGTGCAAATTCTTCTGATGTTGTCTAGCTGCTTCTGCAGCCTGTGCTTTGCTTGCTGTGTCTGTAGTAAAAGGCACAAGGAAGCGCGTGTCCCTTCCTCCGCAGTGTGCAGAAGCCACACTGTCTACACTGAGTGTGACCAGTGGGCAACGCCTCAATCTCCTTTATAATGTGACATCCACAGACAGACCGCTTCTAGTGCCTCAGTCCCTCATGGGGTCCCCACTGTGTGCTGGCGGCAGCAGCACCACGGCCTCCTGGTCTCTGCAGGAAGTGGAGTCAGGTGGGGTCTGCCTCCCCTGGGGGCCTGCACAGGGCATCGGGAAGCTGCTCTAGAAAACTGGCCAAGAATGACTACTGTCAGTTAATGAAAAAGAAGGGACTGCTTTGCTTGATTAGCTTTTGCTTTCTCCTTCCCATGACTAGCCGTGAAGGGTGGACGGTGTGTGGGTAGTGATTCTGCTCATGTGCTCCAAAGCCATTTGGTGCGGGTAAAGCAGGGCTGTGCTCAGTAGGCAGTTAACAGGGACCCTCAGCAGACAGCTTAGTGTCAGACTGGTGGATCATCTACATTAAAGAAATATCTCCTTCAAGAGTTGACTCACAAGAAGTACCAAATAACAAAAGAAGTACTTTTCCTAAAAAATTTAATTTTATTCTCATTTTTAATTTGGGGTTTTTAACAGTCCAAGAATTGGGTACATGTGGACTATTTAAAATTAGTCTTAACACCATGCACAGCTCTCTGCAGCGAGTGGTCCTCCTCAGTCCACCTGCTCAGCAAGAGGTGTCGTGGGAGGAATTACTCCCCGAGCCCCACGGCGTTCAGTGGGGGGCGAGTCCTCGGCTGCAGGCCAGCGCGCTCCAAGCTCGCTCTTCCTTCCGACAGGAGTAAGAAGGTGCGGGACCCCAAGCTGCGCGCCGAGGGCACCGAGTATCTCCAGGCCAGCGCGTGCTCCCTGCTTCTCCCCGAGGTGAGCAGCTGGCCGGCCCGCTCCCTTCTTCCCTCCCTCCTCTCCCATCACAGCCCCCCAGGCTGCCGGGACCCGCTGAGCACTGCCAGGCTGAGTCGTGCCAGGAGACCTGAAAGAATCTGTGTTTAAGCCAAGGTTCTCTAACGTGACCTTTCGGGGTCCTGAGCTTCCCCCCAATATGTAAATGATGCAGTTACTATATTATCACACTCAAGATTCTCAAACGTTGAGTGGATTCTGCCTTCACACCTGTCGTGAAGGGCCCGGAAGCAGTCTTCGGAGTGGCACTAGGTGTCCGCACTGTGAAAGGCGGAGCCTAGGAGACACCCTGTGCAGGGGGAAGTGGGCCATCCCACCTGCGCGGTGAGGTTGCCCAGCCGGCTCTGCGCCGCCGTCTTCAGCGCGGAAATGTCGCGCTAAGTGCCTGCGCCACGGAAGGGCTGTGGTCTCTGCAGTGGCGCTCGCTGGACCCTAGAAAACCATCCAGTGACGTCGTGGCTTTCCTGGGGGGGGAGGGGGTTCTCACTGCTCGTTCCAGAAAGCCGGGGCGGAGGAGCACGTGTGACGACATATTTACGAAGTCCTCCCTCAAAGATGTGGCAGGACCCCTGTCTTTTAATATCTATTTGAAAATTATAACCCTGCTCCTCAAATCTCAAAATACTTTGGTAGGAGATAGAGGCCAAAATAATAATAATAAAACCTCTTTCTCATGAGTGGTGGGCTGGAGATGTTTCCGGAGCCAGCACGATGCCCGTTGTAGGCGCTGAAATATTTCCGATCACAAAGAACGTTGGATAAACCCTCAGAGGAGGCACGACCCACTCACGTGTTGTGATGCAGGCTCCCCGGCGTGGTGTGAGCCGTCTGCACCCCTCTTCTCCGCAGGGCACAGGGGGCTCCTTCAGCATCGACAACGAGGAGTACGAGGCGATGCCCGTGCAGGTGAAGCTGCTGCCCCGGAAGCTGCAGTTCTTCTGTGACCCCCGGAAGAGGGAGCAGCTGCTGCCGCGCTCGGCCCAGTGAGCAGCCAGGGACCAGCGCCCCAGGACTGCACCGGGGCCACTAGAAGGGACCAGATGCCTCACTGTCCCCATGTTGTCGGAGGACCCAGGGGCATTTCCATGCAAGTCCAGCACCTCTGCCCTCCTCAGTGCTGTGCCCACTGTCCATTAGCCAGGCTTTGACTCGGAGACCATGGCGCCCTCCCAGGGCAGTGCAAGGACGTTCTCAAGCAGCGGCTGCCAGGGGGCTGGGCCTTGCTCTCCCCCAGATGCACCCACAGGAGGCCTCCAGGTCCCGGGCTCCTCCACTCGCTCTTCCATGCCTGTCCGTCCTTTGGGGGCCTCCGTGCCCCCGGCTCCTCCACTCGCTCTTCCATGCCTGTCTTTTGGGGGCCTCCATGTCCCCGGCTCCTCCACGCCTGTCTGTCCTTTGGGCGCCGAGGGCTTCCCGCCTCCATGTCCTGGCCTCCCCACGGGTGCTGCTGCTTGGTGAGCTCTGAGTCTCACTTAGCTTGTTTCAGGTCGATCCTCAATCCAAAAGTGTCGGTGTTTTCTTCTGGCCAAAATACTGTAAAATACTCATTTTTTTAAAGTAGTGTTTAAATGTTAGTTTGCATGACAACCATGCATGTTGAAAATTGATTTACCTGGGGTCCAACCCCAAACCTAAATAACTCCATCCAGAGTTTTTCCTGAAAAGCCTCCGCAGGTGGTCCCCCAGCCTCCCCCGACAGCGTCATAAAGCCGTGCACTTCCCGCAGGTACTTTCGAACATCAGTATCCCGTCCCGCTTTTAAGTTGACTTCTAAAATTTTTCATGGGAAGTTAGAGTTGCCAAAGTATGTACTTTCTGCTGTCCTGTAAATATTGATATTTTAAAATAAACTGTTACTTCACACTTTTATACATACTTGTTTATTTTTTTATAAATGGATGAATATGTTCTTCAGTAGTTGAAAACTTGAAATTGGTTTTTCTCCTTGTCTATATATTTCCATACTTATTTTCAGCAAAGAATGCTATCATAATGCAATCCATTTTTATGTTTGACTTATTTTAGTTCTTTGTTGACTCAGTACAGAATAAATGTTATAATTATTGATAGACAGTTAATGAAAAACAATATTATAAGGTTTTGATCATTAAAAATTAACTTATTAGAACGCTCTTAATCCTAATTATGTCATTTATCTAAGAACACGTTATTTATCGCTAAGATAGGACCCAACACTACATTCATTGTTCCATTTTTATAGCTGTATCTCGTCTAGTTATTTATGTGCTTACAACAGTCCTTTCTTACTCCAGAGGGGCTCTAAGCGCTGCACGACATTGTTACGTGTCAAAAATCAGTGACCTGGCAACAGCTTGATCAGATCTTCCTCTGGGGCGTTGAAAGCAGAGAACCAGACACGCCCTGACCTGCTGTCAGCATTTACCTTGGATCCCACCGTCGCCATTTTCCCGTTAGGTGCCCCTGAGGTCAGTACTCTGGAGGGCAAGCACCTGAGTCAGATGGACGGGACACGTACCTTTGTGAGGACGGGACGGCGTGGGGGGCGGCAGGCCTCCGCTGCAGCGGCTCCGTGCGCCCCCTGCAGGCAGACACAGCTCCGGCAGCCCATGTGTGAAGAGCACGAAAAACCAGGCTCACCTGTCCTGAGAGGCGCTGAGGGCTGACTCCTGCCAGCAGCACAGTACAGGTGGGTCCAGGCGTGCAGGGTGAGGGGCAGCACGCCCCAGCCCACGGTGGGAGAGCAGATGCTGGGGGGGGGGGCAGTTTCCACACGAGCTGGAGCACGTCCTGATTCTAGAACCAAGTAGAGAGGACCAGCCCGGAACCTGGCTTCCCTCGTCCTTGACAGGCTGCCAGCAGGTGCGCGAGTGCTTCTGAGCCTTCCGCTGACACGGTGGAGCAGAGCACTGGGGAAGGGTTCTTCATCCAGGCTATGCTGCATTCACTAAGTATGAAATGCCCTGGTTCAGTTTTCCCGACTTAAACTAGACCCCGGGAGAATATGGTTTCCTTACCATCCACCGCCTCGTCCTCCCAGTGTCCACGCAGCTGCTGCGAGAGGGTCACCCGTGTCGGCCAAGCCGACCGCCTCCCGTTTAGGACAAACCTGTCAGACTAACTTCACTCACCAGCTAAGATTATTTCTATTCAATAGTTAACTACAAAGCCTTTTGCTTAACTCGTGCCGATCTCACGCACGATTACAGTTACTGCGTGTCCGGTGCTTTGCATAAGCAAGTGCTTATTCTGCCCTCACAGCAGCCCTGGGAAGGCGGTCAGTCATGGCCACGCAGCTTGGCAGGAGCCCGGCTCTGAACACATCGACAACAAGGTCAGTAGCCACTGACTACACTGCCTTAAGGTGACGAATAAAATAGAACTGTAGTGTCTACATGCACACATGATATGTACGCATCTCAATCATATGTGTAACACAGTAGAACGTCTTAAAGTAACCTGTGGTGGGAGGAGACACGAAACCAAAGGGCTTTGGTCTCTGCGAGCTCCTTCCATGGAAGTCGTCTGATGGGCCGAGGGCGTGCGGTCCTGGCCCTTCTGGACGGCCCGTTAGCCCGGCCTTGGCTCCCACCACCGGGACAGTGCTCGTCCAGAGCTGGGCCTCCAGGAGGACAGGCCCCAGCTCTCGGTCCCCGTGTGGCCCGCGGGCTCTCATGCGCCAGGCCGCCACTCCTTCCTGCACACGCCCTGGACAAGGTGAAGGACTGCAGCACACGTGTTCGTGTTAAAATGTGCATTTTAATTGTAAAAAGTATTTTCTGTAAATATAGTTATATCAAGCTCTCTGCACACAACTCGGTTCAGATATATACAGATACGACATACACAGATGAACTGGTTATTTGTACCACAGAACAAAATCAATTCAAGAAGCACTCTGAAATTCAGGAGAACCCCAGCTTGCTTCAGGTCTTTAAAATGATCACCGTAGAAAACAGAGCAAGAACACATATCTACAAGCACGACTAGTACTCAGGGTAAACCTGCTCAACTGACTTACTGATATTGTAATATGAGGTAAAGACTGCAAACAAAAATAGATTCGGTTTCTCTTATTGCTATGACTCTTATACTGGGGTGTTCATCAAAATAGGGGCTTGACATTTAAGGCGACAAGGATGCTATGCTCTCCCTAACTTGGAAAAATAAGAAAACTTTTTTTCCCCAAAGCTACGACTACTTCTTTTTCAGAAAAGGTTTCTGTCCCAGACCCACGAAAAGTTTAGCCAACAACTTGGGGTGAATACGTTAATTGCATTTTCCTCTGCTCTGTACCCTGAATGACCCCTCGACCCTGTCTGTTCGCAAGCCCAGAAGCCACACCTTCCCGCACCCTGGTCTCCGTGCACGCTGGACGGAACCTCTTTTCCTGATGCCGCCTTCGAACATCTGTTTACATTTTTCCTTTGCTTAATTTGCCCGGGGGACATTCTCACTCGAATGTCGAATTAGCCATCAGCGAACTCGGTGACCTCTGTGTGGATTTCTTTTTGGATCATCTCTGGCCCATTTGTAACACCCTAGCCCAGCCCCTGCATCCCCAGGTGTCTCAGAAGGCCGAGGGTTCCCACTGACCTCCCACTCTGATGATTAAATCCAGTTTCTGGATTAGATCCTGTCGCCTCCGGGAGCCCGCTCGGCGGAGCTTCTCGAGTAAACCCAGGGAAGGGGAGCAGAGCTGGAGGGAAGTCTGCTTCCTTCTGATGCCCTGATGTGCGGCTTCACCCGCCTGCCCATCTCCCAGCTTCAAACAGGAGTTAAAGTGCCGTGACCCCTCCGTCTCCCACCCCGCCCGTCCTGAGGCCTCGTGGGCATGATCACACCCAACGCCTAAGACAGTTTTACTTCAGGGTTGGGGACTCTGTCGTCCTTCCTGGGACTGTCTCCTAAAGGGTGCTGCTGGATTTCACAGTCTTCAGTCATGACGTGTCCTTCCCTTTCAACCTCTGCACACTCACCTCATCACACTGCAATGTCGATACAAAAATAAACTTCCGTTTCTTACAAGAACAACTAACTTAATTCACAGTCAGCCTTTTCCCCTAACACTCCGTGGTCCAGTGGCTCCTGGGAACAAAGGTATATTAGCAACGCAATGGAATGTTAAAAACCCATGACTTGGGAGTAAAAGGGGCCCCTTAACTCCTTCTCGTCCCCTACCTGAATCAGAAACGGGGTTTCCTGAAGTGAGGGGACAGGCTGGGTCTGTGGACAGGGGCCTCTGGGTCTGCTAGATGGGGTCGTCTCCGCACTAGGTAGAGCAGGGCGGGGGACGGGTGGGGACTGGACTTTCCTCAGACCCTCAGCTCACTGGGGAGGGACCTACTGGACATAAAGATGTGCATGCATGCTGGTCCCCGATTACCTTGCTGTTTAGAACTGTTGTCACACAAGCAAGTTCACTGTCAGAAGGAACACTGACTTCACCCTGCTCCTTTACTGGCAAGGCTGAGCTGCTCTGGGACAAGAAAGCGTCTCGATCCGTTCCCTGGGCCACGCGGTTTCACAAAACGCCAAAAGCACCCAAGAAAGGGTCCCCGAGGTCCCAGCCTCTTCCTGGAAGGTTCCTATGCCACCGTTAAAAGGTTGATTTGTTACTGCCCTTTGCAAAAGGTTCCCTGAAGGCCTCGTGTAAAGGTGAATAATCTCCTCTTTTATTGTGTCTGCAGAGCTTTCATTGTATCAAGACAAACAGCCAGTGCGCCCTCGACACCACCAGCAGGAGAAACAGCGGCTCAGCCACGATTTAATTGAGCTTTGCCTTTATCTTCCAGCTAAAATATCACAGGTGGTTACCCTGACCAATGAGTCTTCCCGTGGGGGACTTAGAATGCTCTGCGCCCTGTGCTACACTCGAATTTCCCGTCACGACTTTCACGGGGGACTAAACAAGGTCAGGTTCAGATGCAAATTCCTGTGCTGAATTATCTGCACCGACACACGATGAATTCAGCTCCCCTTCCCCAGCCCAGTGCAAGGAGAGATGCTGTGTGGATGGTGGGTGTGGGGGGCACGCGCCTGCTAGTTCACGGCACCTGTGACTGACAGGACGTCCAGCCCCAGCTGGTACACACCTACACCAGGCCTGGCCAAAGCTGATTCTCCACAAATGCCTGGGCCCATAGGTTGTAACTTATAGGAGATAAGCCCGGCCCTTTCTGACTCCTTCCAAAGAAAGAGTCCTAAGCTGGAGGACAACTGGACATGGTCACAGAGGCCAAAGACCACCCTCTGCTGAGCCTGAAAACCTGAAAAATCCACTTCAACACCAGCAAACCCACGTCTGGATTCTGGGCCTCACAGGACTCCTGCTCCCGGGATTCCTTCTAACTCGGTCTCAGGAGGACAGCGCACCAGGTGCCCCAGGTCAGCCCTGTTCCCAGGCTGGCACAGGGCCCACTACATCAGCCTGCAAGTTGCCCAGGGGGATGTAGCCACGCCCCTCGGTGAAGGTCCCACACCCCAGGTGAGATTTCTAACCTGTCCAGAAGGTCAGGGGTCACAGTGCTCATCCCTGCCCACGCAGAGCTTACAGACCCAGAAGGCAGGACCCGGAAGGATGTTCACCAACATCTTGCAAACTGAAGCGGATGGTTTCTTAGTACTTCAGCAGTGACAGAAAGCCAACCCCAGGGGGCTTCCGGCTTCTGTGGTCACCGCGCAGGGATTCCTGCCTGGTACCTCCCAAGCTCATTCCCCTTCTAGAAAACCGGCGGCCGGCGATGCTGGGCTGCCCGCTGAGGCCCTGGGGAGAAGGCGGGGGGCGGGAGCCCGGTACGCAGCAAGCCTTCCACAGGCGACCTCCATCCACATCTCAACCAAGGCAAGAAATACTGAGATGACAAACCGGGACAAAGGTAGCCACAGAGCCGGGGCGCATGCTGGTCACACGCGGAGGGAGCTGTAGCGCGGGGAAGGAACGCGAGGGGACAACACGTCCTGCTTTGGGTCAGCTGAGCCCAGGCTCCCCCAGACCTCAGACAGCACAGCCTCAGGGTGTGTTCCCCGCCCGGGCACCCGACCCCAGCCCCTGCACGAGCGTGAGGGTGGACGCAGGGACGTGCCAACGGACAGCTGCCCCCAGCAGCAGGGTTCAGCGCAGCCCAGGGCCCTGACCCACCATCCAAGGGGAACGACAAGAGCCCCCTTTTCACCCCAATTCCTGCACCTCGGCACTTCCGAGCCCACAGAAGCAGTGTCCCCATGCGGACGGACCCGCAGAGAGGCTGAGAAAGATCCTCCTAACACATTCCCCAATTCCCAGAAGGAGGGTCTGCCTGTGCCCTCGGGAGACTGACCTGCCCTTCCACCGCGACCCTGTTCTGGTCACCCCCCAGCTCACAACACCTGAACCTTTCGGACCCCCGCAGTCCCCAGGACTTGGCCCAGTTAGAAGGGTGCTCGGGAACGGCGGGGAAGCCTCAGCCCCCACACAGATGTTCCCTTCTGTAGACACACATGCCACCGACAGGACCGCAGCGAACAGAGATGTATCAGTTGTTCCGTCTGCGCCTCAACGCCCACACTTATTTATATTGTCACAGACACGGCGCCGCCGGGATGGATCGACGTCCGCTCGCGGTTCTGCGTGGGGATTTCTGTCGTCTTGGATTCTGCAGTCAGGGGCCACGGTGAAAACAGTCTTGAGATTAGACACGGGATCCACCCACCTGAAAGTTACCCCTCTCTGCCGTGTACGTTAACGGCTACACGATGGCTGTCCCAGTGACAGCGGGGAGGACGGGGAAGGGGAAGAAGTATTGGCTACCAGTAACCCAGTTTCCCAAGTGAAAAGCCTACATTATGGCCCCGACTCTGCTCACAGGAGCTGCCCCCTAAGCTGACCTCCGTCACACGCCCAGCTCGAGAAAGGCCAGGACCCAGCCTCGGAGGGGAAAGCACAAACCATCCGACACTCGGGCTCCCGACCACTTTCCTGGGGAAGACGCTGTCAGACGCTCTCCGACAGGTCTGACGGGTCTCTGGCCCCGATCACTGCTCAAGGACTGTCCTCTGCTGAGGACAACTGGTCCGTGAGCGTGCCATCAGCCCGCTCAGACCCTGGCTAGATCCCGGAACCTGGTGAGCCTCCTTGGATCCCGAGGCCTCATCCGGGAAGGAGTGTCTTCTCCATCCTGCACCCCAACTCTGTCTTTGAGCAGCCGATGCTACTCTTTAAAAATACCCAAATTATGCCAAGAGGATGGTTAGCCCTTAAAGGAGACTGAAGTGGAAAATGGATTTGCTCGCGAGCTCCAGGGATGTGCCGACCCCTCCCAAGGGGGCGGAGTCTGGGGAAGAGACTCCTACATTGAGTGGCCACCATGAAGTGTGAAAAGATTCTGTTTTCTGCCGACTGATAAGCCACCTCTCCCTGTCACCCTGTCCTTAGAGAAGCTCACACTCGGGGTCAGAAACATCCTTCTGTCCCACTTGGAGAACTTTACTCACGGGAAGACACAGATTTGTCCTAATAGACAGGAAATTGGATCTGATCCCAAGACCAGACTCCCAGAGCCGGTAAACACCTCACAGAAGGTCACCTGGTCTAGCCCCTGCCCCGCAGAGATGGACACCCAAGGCCACCCTGGGAAGACGGCGGTCTCGCTCTTGAATACATCACAGGACACTGACCACAGAGACTTCCTGAAGAGCCCACCCCGGGCGCCATGTGGCCTTGGCCACATCTCAGGTGACTCCACCAGGAGATGAGAGAATCCACGTGGACGGGGACGCAGAAGACCAGAACAGGCAGCAGCTCTGGAGATTCCCGCTGGTAGGTTCCCGCGTCCCCCGACCGAAGCCGGACGCACAACCTCGGCGTCTCGTCTCGCCTCCGGAGCGAGGGGAGAACAGCGATCGCAAACATTGCACGTGTTGGAAAGTATCAACAGCAGGGCCCTGTGTCAACTCAATAAACAGTGAGCCCTCTGGGGCGGGGCTGAGGTCCCGCGCGCCAGCGGCTCACCGGCCGGCGCCCTCGCCCTACGGGCAGCAGGGGTTGTCAATGACCAGCATGACGTCGATGCCGTAGGCCTCCAGCAGGTCCAGGAGAAAGCTGCGGTCTCCCTGGGGGTCCAGGCCCATGCCCCGGGCATGCTCGGCCGTCAGAGTTTTGTCTTGACTGGCGGACACCTCCAGCAACGTCTGGAATATCCGGTTGTTTTGCTCTAGGAAAAACCTGCATCCGAGAGACAAGACACGAGAGGGAGGGCAGAGAGGACAGAAAGCTCACCGAGGGTCCACAGGCGGGGGACCGAGCGATACTATCTAGTTGACTGTACCTTTCAGTGGTCTCAAAATCAGACCTCTCTCTTACAAAAGTGAAAACAGGATCGAAGTGAAATGGATGGTTATTCAAGTGCTACCAAGATCCGCAAAGGAACCGTGGCATTAATCGCGGTATGATTAGCACAGTCTCCGAGCCGTTTCCCGGTGGAGAAGTGACGAGAGGTTTACAAACAGCGTCCGGGAGGGGTGCCTCAGGCTGTGTGCCCCTCTTCGGCGTGGCCGTAGCGGGACTTCAACAACCGACTGCGGTTCTGAGGTCGAGACTTGCGTGTGGGACTGAGACGCACCTTCCCAGCCCTGGCTCGGCCACCGGGGCAGGGGCGACGGGGGCCCCGAGACCCCGCAGGCCGTGCCAGCTGCGGGTGTCCCACGGAAGGCGGAACTCGGGCTGCAGGGCCGGGCTGAAGGGAAGGGGACACAGCCAAGCTGCAGCCACCGATGCTGCCACAGCTCAGCAGCATCCTGTGTGTCTTTCCCTTTGATTACTTTTCTAAACCCTTACCCAAGGACATGTTTTCATTGATTCTGGAGAGAGAGGAATAGAGAGGGGGAGAGAGAGTGAAAAACATCAAAGTGAGAGAGAAACATTGATCACTTGCCTCCCATAGGTGCCCCGACCAGGGACTGAACCCACAACCTGGGTATGTGCCCTGATCAGGAATCGAACCCGAGACCCTTGGTGCATGGGACAGCATTGTAACCACTGAGCCACAGCGGCCAGGGCCCCTTCGATTACTTTGTTACAGTCATGCACAGAGCACCCTGGCTGGGGTGGCTCCGTGGTTAGAGTGTCCCATACACCCAAAGGCGGCGGGTTTGATTCCTGGTCAGGGCACATACCCAGGTTGTGGGTTCGATCCCCAGTCAGGCTGTGTGCAGGAGGAAGCCAATCGATGTTCCTCTCTCGCGTCAATGTTTCTCTCTCCTCCTTCCTCTCTCTAAAATGACATTTAAAAAATCATGCACAGAGCATGATCTAAACGTCAGTGATTTATGGTACCACGCAAGTCTATGAACCAGGCATTAGGTGTCTCGACTTCCAGCTGTGCCCCACAGGGCCCTCGGGGTCCACAGCGGGGCCTCGTGCCCAGGGAAGCTGAGGACGCCCAGGTGGCAGGTACGAGGGAAGGGGTCAAACCGTGAGGAGGCGGCTGGCTCTGTGCTCAGTTCCCAGATACTTTTATCAGTGTGCATGAGACAGCACACTTTCTCAGACCCCCAAACCTGCCCTTTGTTGAAGAGCCAACGTTAAGTTCTCGGCGTCAAAGCGAGAAAGGGTTCTCGCCCCAGGCGCCGTGCCCACCCCCATCCCGGGACACGGGCAGGAAGACCAGACTGGACGCGGCTACAATTCGCTCCCTGAGCGACATTTCAGCCGCTGCTCACGAAGGCAGTCAAAGCTCCAGGCATGCAGGCCGGGGCTCCCACCCTGACCACCGACAGACCCGGGGGAAAGATTTCATTAGGTTCAAGTTAAATTTTCGGATTATCCCATAATCCTCAGTGCAAGGAACTGCTCTATTCGAAGGAAGCAATGAGAGAGAAATCTCTGGATGCTCGGGGACAGGCAGCTTCCGTGCGGTGCACATACCCCAGGACGCCCCCGTTTTCTCTTAATGACCTTCCCTTGCTTCTCTCCTTAACTCCTCCGGGTCCCCGCTGCCAGCATCTCGGGGCTGACGGCATGGAGCCCAGCTCCAAGTGCCCTTGGCACTGGGAACGAAGGGGGCCATGTAAGAAGTGTGACAGCTCGGGGCACATGGCAGCCGGACAAGCTCAGTGACCGAATGACCCCTCGGGATGGTCTGACCTCCAGCTCTAACCGGGATGTCGTGGCCGGGGGTCCCACCGCAGGCCACAGCCCCCTGGGCAGAGGTCAGTCTTCGCCTGAAGGGAGCTCCTCCCACTGTTGTGCGGCTGGGACCACACCCCGGTCTGGATGCCATGCACCCCCTCCCTCTCTCCTTTGACCCTATCGTATAAAATCAGCTCGAACGGCCCTTCTCCGGAGCATCTGAGACACTGCCTCCCCGCAGTCGGTGTGGCCCCATCAAGTCGAACATCCTCTAGAGGTGTGTACGTTTCTTACATCGACAGCAGCAGCTTGGTGCTAAGGGACCCTCGGGGAGGCCCCGGAGCCCAGCCCAGGCGACTTACAGCACGAACAGGTCCTCTTCACACGGGCTGTAGTTCCCCTCCACCTCCTGGGTGTACAGCAGCGTCTGCCTGTCGTGGGGAGGACCCCATCAGGCAGGCGTCTGAACCACCCCTCCCAGGAAGGAACCGACAGGGCAGGGGTCAGACCCCCAGGGTCCAGGGCTGCTTGTGGCCCTGGGCCACCGCAGCAAGTGACAGTCTTTCCTAGTTGCCCATCCAACAGGGCTGACAGCGAGGCCATGGGTTTCGCAGGAGAACGAAATCACAGGGACGCTTTCTGTGCTGCAGAGCGAGGCTGGACACGCAATGCCCGGTCTCCCCCCCGGGCGTCCAGAGCCCCAAGTCCTCAGAGAGCAGTCCCCACGCCTACTGCCACGCTCCCAGGACTCTGCGGGGCGGCTTCCTCACCACCCATCGCCCTGGCAACGGCCGCTGGGCAGAGTGTGCCCTGAGGGCAGGGCCGGACGGGAGGGCTGGACAGAGACCGCAGCTGAGGTCCCACTGGGGACAGCTGTCCGCGCAGGGCCCGGCTCTACCTCTGCTCCTTGAGCCGCCGGTACTTCTCCCGGTCGGCACTGTTGATCTTCAGCAGGGGCTGCAGGTGGTCGTGGTGCGTCTTCACGTTCTGGTTGTCCACGTAGACATCGTACAGCTCCCGCTTCTCCTCGAAAATCTTCTCCGTGGTGCCTGCGGGACCCGAGCCGCGAGCTGGGAACCCAGAGGCCGGCACCAGCCCGACCCGCCGGGACACCGGGAGCCTGGGGTGGGGGTGGGGGGCTGGGAGCTGCAGGCTGTGGACAGGAGGCGGCGGCCCCGTACTCACAGGCCACGTAGGACACCTCCACCTCCAGGCTCGCGATGTCAGCCACGTTCACGTAGAAGAAGGGCTTGGACTCGGGGACGGAGCCCCCGATGCCGGGCAGGGAGATGTTGGCCAGGCAGCAGCAGCAGTACACTGTGGGGACACAGATGCCACGGGACAGGCTGTCCCTCCCAGCCCCCCTGCGAAGCCGGCCGGCGTCTGGGCTACGGAGGGCTAGCTCTGTGCTGTCTGGGCCTGAGCAAGCGGGTGGCCCTGCAGTCCGAGGAGTGAGGGGACCCTGTCAGGTGCCACAGCACAACCGGGGTCCTCAAGGCCACACTGGCCATGTCCTACCCCGTCCAGTGGACAGTCTCCGACTGCACCGCCTGGGGCTTGCTTAGGGTGGCACTGCGGATCCCCCGAAACCCTCACCTACACGCCCTCCACCTCCTGGCTCCTCCCTTCTGACCTTCGCCTTCATAGTTCACCTCCTGCTCCGGCATCTTCAACACCGGCATGCCTCGCGGCCTCTCCCCGCCTGAGGCCACCCACTGCCGTTATCGGCCCAACCTCCTTGCCCCAGCCAGGCCGGAGCCCAGGGGACAGTTCGAGAAGGCCCCACCGGCAGCACACGCCGTGTCCAAAGTGAACTCTCACCCCCTCCTCCTCGGTCCCCTCTGGTGGCCTCACCACGCCCGTCGTCCTGGTCTCGTCCCCCATTACAACCTCACACCGGAGCCCTACAACCCAACCACACACCAAATGTCAAGCTCCTCTCTTCGCTGTGTCCAGAATCCATCTGATCTGCCGAATGCAGCCTCTTATCTGTCACCAGACTACTGGTCCGTCACCCGGGCCAGCGTCTGCATTGCCACCGAGTCCAGGATCTAAAGTGCAAACCTGACCTCATCACTCCCAGGCTTCAAACCCGGGACCCCCTCGATGTGGCCCAAACCCTTCTGGACGGGTCAGCGGCGGAAAGCCTCCCGCAAGCACCCCGGGAACTCAGGAGGAGCCCCGACTCCGGCCCGTGGTTACCTCGGTAGCACACGACGCCCACAGGAGGGGGAGAGAAGATCAGAATGCGCTTTCGAAGCAGCGCCAGCTTCCAGAGGACGAGGATCTGCTCCCCGAAGAACTCAATGAACTGAGACATGCAGCCGGCTGGGTGCGTGATCTGAAAAGGGAAGTGTCGCTCAGAAAACAGTCGACACAGGCGTGTGCGGACCGCCCCCCAAACCCCAAGTACAACCAAACAGAGGCAGGATGGTTGCTTTCACATAAAGGGGTGTTTTCCTCTTTCCAAGGCCCCTCTGTACGTTAGATTTCCATCATGCAACAGCTCCCTGAACTTTGATTCAGGGATCACTGACTGCTCCACTCGGGGGAGTGGGGTGCCGAGGAAACAGAACTGAATGTAACTTCCCAAAGCAGCAGTACAAGTATCTCTGCAGTGACCGCACCCCTCAGCAAGAACATCCGGCTCACAGACACTCCTGGAAGAAACAAAGTGATGCGCCAGTAGTCCCAGGGGAGGTCCCCAAATGTACAGGGACCCGGCTCCTGTGCGGAACGAGGTGTCTGAGAAGCCGGCTGGCCGTCTGAGCTGTCAGCCTCCAGAGGTGCTGGTGAGGGCTTGGCTCTGTGCTGTCCCGCTGCCTGAGTGACCAGGTGGTCCTGCATTCTGAGGTCACTGCGAGGAAGACCCGCAGGGCCTGCTGGCGGGACAGCCAGCAGCTCGCTCCTTCCGTGCTCCACACAGGAGCCTGTCACCGGGTCAGTGAGGTATGGAGGCCCTCAGTCCAACAGCCCTCGAGGAGCTCACTGCATGAGGGCGGAGGTGGATACACTGCCCCAGGGGAGCCTTCAGGTGAGACTCACACCCTGCCTGGTACATTGACTGGGGTCTCAACCAGAGACCGTGAAGCAGAGGACCTCAGTGAAGCTGTGCCTGATTTCTGCCCCATAGAAACGGTGAGGTAGTAAGTAGGCACTGGTTTAAATCACTGCTGGCCACGCCTTCTTTCAGTATGGAAGGCAGCACCCCTCCCTTTCTGCCTAGCCAAACACTCCAGGGACCACCTCCTCCAAGAAGCCTTCCTGGATTCCTCCCTTCACCGCATGACATCATTTCTCTACCAGCGAGCCCGAGGTTTCTGCTGGAGTATGTTGTGACCACCTACAGAGACGGGGTGGGGGTGGGGGAGCTTCAAGTGCACAGTTATCTTTGTTCCCTCCCAACACCTAACTCTTGGCTGGGTGTCTTGTTAACTGTACACAAATATATTCTAGCACAAAGTACTTCAGAAAAAAAATGCACAATAAAGCAATCCCCAAACTACTGTAACTAAGAAATACCAGACCTGTTTTCACTTTTCACCGTGAGCTCAAATGTCCGAGTTTGAAATATCCGAATCAACAGAACCAAACCCACCTCTTCCCCCCGGAGATCCACCCGCACTGGCCCAGCAGTGCGACTGCGCACCAGAGTCAGCCCGCACGCCAGAGTCAGCAATCCTCCTCTATCAGAAGCGGACTTTGAGCAGGAGCCCAAGACAGAAACTCCTCATCAATTAAAAAGAATAATTAAGCTCTACTGTACGAAGACGCAAGTCCGGGACGTGCAAGAGTCGGGCGCCCCTCACCTTCATCTCGGGGTACATGTACCGGTGGATGGAAGGCAGCCAGTAGACGGGGGGCAGGCTGCCGCCTCTCCCGGGCCCAGCGTGGAGCACCCCTTTCTTGTCTTCATAGAAAGCAGCCAGATGGGAGTAATGTCCCGGCGTCTCCAGCTGGTGTCTGCAAACACACATGCGTGGTGAGATCGAGACCCGGCTGCTACCTCGGCTCTGTCACTCCCCCACCCCATCCTGGCCCCAAAGGCTACAACACGTAGGGACAAAGGCCCCAATAAACTGAAAAGACCCCTTTTCTGAGGCTGCCCAGGAGATCCTTAGGAAAAGCACCAGCGGGGGGTCTGATGCTCCCCGGCAGCGTGGGACACATTCCCCTTCTCGTGGGAAACAGGCAGGGCTCACAGACTGTGACTAATGCCCATTGTTCTCGAGCAGGGTCTGCTGGGGACTGCGGGACCTCCCAGAGCTCGCGGTGGGCCCCGAGACGGGGTGACTCGGGAGACCTCGGCTTCCCGGCTTCAAGCCGCTTCTTGTTTAAAAACCGTGCTTGCTCACTGGCTTTGTTGTTATGAAAGAATAAGAGGAAGCAGTGTCTTGAACAAGAGGAAACACTTGTTATCGGATGTCCCTCAGGGCTCAGAATGTCTGCACCAAGTCATAAATAAAAAGCTCAGAACCTCTTCTTTTCCTCTTCTCTGCTCGGGATGGCAGGGGCTTGGCAGTGGGCAGCCCTGTCGACGGGCCCCAAAACCGAGACAGGTGCACTGAGGCCCCGGGCCACTCAGCGGGGACCCTGCCTTCGAGGGGAACGCAGGAGCCCGGTGAGGGCTAGTCAGCACTGTGCTTAATGAGGGTGTTAGGGCTGGAACTGTGACCTCCCCCCGCCAAAATGTTGGAGTTCTAACCCCTAGCACCTCAGAATGAGAACTTATTTAGAGATAGAGTCTTTATAGAGGTAATCAAGTTAAAATGGGGTGATTAAGGCGAGTCCTTATCCAACGTGACCGGTGTCCTGATAAAAAGGGGACTTTTGGGCACAGACACACACGGGGGGTGCCATTGAAGATGAAGGTGGAGAGCAGGAGTAACACAGGCCACGGAGGGCCAAGGTCACCAGCGAACTGCTGGACAGGGGCCAGGACGTGTTGTCTCCCCCAGACTCGGAAGGGACTAACAGCCAGCACCTCGATCTGACTCCGCTGGCCCCCAGAACCGCGGGAAACTACGTTTCTGTTGCCCTCGACACCAGCTTTGGGTACTTGGTTACAGATCCCCAGGAAACTGACACAGGGAGGAGTTTAAGAAAAAAGGCGCTTACACCCTTCTAGCCCGTTGGTGTTTCCTCGGCACCCCGCAATGCCCAGCATTCCGCCACAAAGAGGAGTCAGACTCTGGCTTCACTGAGCTAGGGGAGGGCCCTGATTGCGGCTGACTTGGAACATGGGGGGCTAACAACAAAAGTGTGCTCCCCAAACTGTCCCCACTGCCCGCTGCAGACGCGGCCCCAGACCACGCGGCGCGAAGATTTCCACCGTCCGAGCGTCTCCACTTCGGACTCAGAGCTCCGGAGGTCAGGGCACAGCGGCCACCCCCTGGGCGGTCCCAGCCAGCTACTGAACTCCTCCAAATCCGCTTCTTTCCTTAGGGTGCAGCGAGGACATTTCAGTAGACTCGGGCACCGCCTCGCTATCATTTTGAGACGTAAATGAAATAAAGTAGAAAAGGGCCTCGTGCCGTGTGGGACACACCAGTCACGCACGAGACGTTAGCTGCCTCGCGATGCTGCTTGCTTCTTTTAAATGTTTTTATTGATTTTGTAGAAAGAGGAAGGGGGAGAGAGACGGAAACATGGACCTGAGAGAGAAACATCGATTGGCCGCCTCCCGCACGCCCCACCCTGGGGATCGAACCGAACCAGACCTCCCAGCCAGGGACAGCCCTCAATCCACTGGGCCACACCGGCCGGGCACAGGGCTGCTTTCTGTCCCTCAGCCTCTCGTGTGAGCCTCCTCTGTCATGTCACCCTGGGCCCTCTTTATCCACCAAGCTGGGAAGCCCTTATAGTTATACCTCAAAATCTAGAACCTAGAAAAAAGAGGAATACATTCAAGGAAGGAAAGAATCTGCATGACAAAAAAAGTAACGTTAGACAATAAATGAGAAAGTGGAAAAATGTTTTCAATTTATGTCACCAAGAACAAATCCTCCGTTATACAAAGAACTCCTAGAAATGATTTTTTTTAAAGGCCAACAACCATAAATAAAGGTAGCAAAGGCTGGGAACAGTTCACAGAAAAAACAAATGACTCAAACTCAACCTCACTTAGAAGAATAAAAATGTAGCCCAGCCGGTGTGGCTCAGTGGCTGAGGGTCAACCCATGCACCTAGAGGTCGCTGGTTCAATTCCTGGTCAGGGCACATGCCCAGGTTGTGGGCCTGATCCCCAGTGGGGGGCATGCAGGAGGTGGCCAATCAATCTTCTCTCTCATCGATGTTTCTATCTCTCTCTCTCCCTCTCCCATCCTCTCTCTCTAAAATCAATAAAGAAAAAATATTAAAATTTTAAAAACAAGAATAAAAATGCAAGTTAAAACTACTCATGCACCATGTTTTACCTATCAGAATGCCAAAACCCCAAAACTTTTATATTTGGGTTGGCAATGTTGTGAGGAAACAGCATGCCCCTGAATTACTGTTGGGCATACAAACTGGTACAATCTCTCCAGAAAGCAATGTGATGCTATCTATTAACATTACAAATACATATACTCAAAGAACCACCGGTTGCCTTTCTGGGAATTTAACGTACACGTGTTCTGCTCACCTGCGAAATGATACATGTTCGTGTGTCTTCAGTGCAGTGTTATTTGAAATGGCAAACGACTGGAAAGAACCAAGTGCCTATCAATATAAGACCTGACAAAGAAAACATGTTTCTTCTATACAAACACATTTACACATATGCCCCAAAGGTAGGAGACACAAATTTCTTTCAAAGCCTCTCGAGTTTATTCTTGGCTAGACACAGGAGTCAGACCATTTGTAAAGATGAGACGTGGGGTCCAGCCTCAAGGCTGTTGCCATGAAAATGAGAGAAAGATGGATAGGACAGAGACCAGTAACTAATCTACAGGCTACTGACTTAAAAATTAAGACCTGGGAGAGACCTTGGACAGTGGATACTGACTTATACCTGGAAGCAAACTGCCCGGAGGCCTCTCTAGTTTTTGAGGGGTCTGTACTGTCACATGCCTGGCCTATAAAGTCTGTGACTTTTCAACCCTCAAAGAAGCCACAAGAGCCCCAAATCTACAGTAGCGGAAAGTGCTAGCTACACAGCCTCAAGAAGGGGCCAGGGAGGAAGGTGGACATGAGGGTTTAGACAGCAGAACCAAAGATTGCCACAGGGCACCCTGCTCTGTCGGGGCCAGAAGTCTGCAGTCCCAGCTCAGTGGACTCAGTTGTCACGGACTGGCGATGGCTTGTACTTCTCATCCTTCCCTCTCCCAAGCAGGAGTGTATTCTGGTGGAGTCTATTCTCTCATAGGTGTTTCACGGGGAGAAGTGTGTCCTCCTCTAAGGAATAGGACTGCCTCATATTGGACAGAAACCCTGGGTGTTAGCCTTGAGGCACCCACCGAATGAGCTATGACGTCTCTGCTGGGGTGGGAAGAACAGTACACATGGATATCAGGGGGGGTCAATGGAAGGAAGGGTTGCTAATTTCCCCCCAACATCCAATCCCTTTCCCTGTTTGTAACAGAAGCTCCAGAATTTCAGTCACAAGGCTGCCCACCTAAAGGTGACCTTTCCCAGTCTCCTCTGCTGTGAGGTGTGTCTTTGTGATCGGGAACGTGACCATGGGACGGGAAGTGACGTAGGCAACTTCCAGGTCTTTCCTGTTCCCCGTGGGTCAGAATGCAGACATCGTAATGGGAGCAGCTTTGGACACTTGAGAAGGACAGCTCAGAACGTAGAAAAGCACCCCTAGAACTTGGTGGAATACTAAGAGAGCAGCAGTGTGGGTCCCTGAACGTCCCTGCCCACCTACCTGCCCCTCCATAGTCTGTGCCAGGAGAGAAAACCTCTGTCTTATTTGATACATTGTATCTTGGGGCCTCTGTTCACACCATTTAACCAGGACCCTAATTAATACCTTTGCATAATTTTAAAATGTACTGCCTATTTGGGAAATAAGTTTTTTCAAGAGGAATAATAATTTTTTAAAAGTGTAAAGATCCCAATAAAAATGTTTTCTTTTTTACTCCATAATATTACTTCTGAGACGCAAAATTGAAAAAAAATATTTCAAATAGAGAGAAAAGATATACGTATGAAAGTGCTCGCCACAGCTCCACTACGTTGAGAAGCAGTTAAAAAAAAAAAAAAAATCAAAAACATGCTACATTCTCAACCTTAGGGAATAATCAAGTAAATGACAGGCTAGCTCTAATAGTATAAAGCTATTAAAGTAATCATCAAAATGATACTATGGAGAGAACATATGCATAACTGGTACACCTGAAGAAGAAAATAATGGAATGGAACAGTTGAATATTTTATAGAAGGAAAGGTTCCTGAAATAAAAAATAAAAGGCATATCTGAAGATCAAAGGAGACAAACTATCCCAGAAAAAAAAAAAAATGCTCATGAACATCACAGATAAAGAAAGAATCTAAGGTATCCGGACAGAAGCAACTTCTCCAAAACAACCAGTACTACAAGACAGCACAGCATTCTGTGGAGCACCCTGAGAAGAAGAAACAAACACTCAAGAATCTTATAACCAGCCGAGAGTGCAGGTAGGTGAGACCTCACAGACGGCAGCACCCACGATCCTTTCACTGGGATGGGGGGGCGGGGTGGGAGGGGAGCTCGATGCCAAAATCCAACCAATCAAGAAATAAATCATGTCAGGGACTCAGGAATGGAGGAAGCCACGTGGAGTCCTAGAAGTGGTTGGAAATACACAACTGAGACTTAAGAACCGTGAGAATTACGGTTCCGGAACGACGTGTCATAGATCGTGTGATCTATAAAAATTGAGATGGAGCGAGGAGCTGGGAAGGAGTGTAAGACAGTGGACTCTGTCAACATTCAAAACACAGTCTGAAAACCGGTAACACCTGTATGACGACTTCTGCACTTTCCTGTACATGTTCTTTCTCAATACAAATCAGGAAGACGCCACACCTTCATGGTTTTCATCATCTTTTTTCTTAACTTTGGAGGAACAGATCAAGAAAGAATGCATTTTGTTGTGGAAAAACAAAACATTCCCTTAAAGTTTGACAATTCCTTTGGTTTCACTTACTCTTTTCCTAATAGATACAAGTAAAATTAAATATATTTCATGGAAACAGCCTGCTATTTGATCAAATTAAATCTTCATAAAATAGTCATCCTGTTTTTGTGAACTTATTTCTATTTTGGAATGGCATTCACTGTATGTGGAGAGGATATCTCTCTGTGTGTTAAGATTTGGGGGGATTTTTAAAATTCATTTGCACTCTCATATAAATTTTTTTTTTTTTTTTTTAATCCTCAACCGAGGACATTTTTCCATTTTTTGTTCAGATAGAGCGGGAGGGAGAGAGAGGAAGAGAGACAGAGAGAAACATCGATGTGAAAGGGACACATCGAGTGGCTGCCACCCACATGACCAACCAGGGCCGGGGACAAACTGCAACCGAGGCACATGCCCTTAGCGGGAACCGAACCTGGGTCTCTCTGTACCGCAGGCTGACGCTCTAACCGCTGTGCCAAACCGGCCAGGGCTCTTATATAAATTTTTAAATAAACGTGGTTTCCCCCCACAAATAACAAATTTCATGTTCTTTCAAAGGTAATGACCAAGAAAGACTGTTGCATAAAAAAATCAAAGTGATGACAAATTTTAAAAGTACAAGTGATAAAAGTCTATGTATGTATACATATATGATGCCAATGATATATTTTTTAAAGTACACACATACATAACATATCAGAAAAGAGGCACGTGTACTAAAATTTTCACAGTGCTTTAAAGATTAGGGCTAGATTTCTCCCTCAAAATCTGAAATGAAATTGGAGTCCTTACATGAAAAAAATGTTACATGACTCATAGTTTTGCTGCTGTCTACTAAATAGTCCCTTCCTCTTACCCCAAATAAAAATCATTACCCTAAATAATAAACAATCCGGCTTGAAGAAAATTAAGAGTCTGCTTGCCTCCTTGGGGCAAGGAGGTTATTAGTGTGGCTTCGGGAAACAAAGATCCCGCTCACGGCAGCAAAGTATGGAATGAGGCCAAATGAATGAATGACAGCAGTAAAATAAACCGAGAGCAAAATCTGCCCCAGCTCTCATTCGAGCGTGAGGAATTATTATTTGGGACACTGGCTAAAATGAAAAGACGGTCACCCGAGGTGTGAAACCCAGCTCTGGCACACAACCTCGACGGCCCAGGGCTCATCGACACACCAGCTGTCAGCCCCCGCTGCCTGCCCGCACCTGGGTGTAAGAAACGTACCGAACCTGGCTCTCCAAGAAGTGCATGTACCGGTAGAGCAGGGTGTAGGACGGAGACAGGATGCCCACGGACTTCATGCGCGCTCCGCGCTCCAGCTCGCTCTCCACGGGCATGTTGGCGAAGCAGGCCAGGCCGAAGAAGGGCCCCTTCCGGAAATAGCTACAGTGGACCAGATAGGCAGTGTGGGTCGAAATCAGAGAGAGGGATTTCGTTTTGCTTTGCTTTTTTCATTTCTGATGCAGTCCCCAAGAAGAGAAAAAACTGAATCCAGGGCTCTACGTGAGAAAGCTCAGCCTTAAAAGAAATACTTTAGAATCTCGGGGGAACGATTAAGCTGCTCAACCACCCAAATGAGACATCCAAGGCTCAAAGAAATGATGGCGCTCGCCAAGGGTCATCCGGCTGGAGCCAGGACTGATCTCTGGCTGGCCTGCTACTCAACTGCCCGTCACCATGACTATATCCCTTCTCCTCCTGCATGACCACTAAGGACTTGGTGGGAGAAAGGGCACAAAGGTTTGTCTGCAGGCGGGTCTGAAACCAGCATTTGTTTCATTTGCATAAACCAGTTGATGGTTTCCTTCCTTCCTGAGGCTCTGGTATCACGAATAGAGCTGCCTAATTTCCTTCCCCTCCTCATCCTGCATCGTCATGGTTTCGGCCAAGGGGAAGATTAAACCTACTTCATTAACCTTATGTTCTTTCCCTTTGCTCCTCCTCCCAGGGATCTTAATTACACAGGACAATATACTGGCCCTACCTGAAGCTGGAATTTCAAGTTTTAGCACATAAATATCTTGAGTTCCCTGAAACTAAACCAAAACTCCATGCTTTCATTACAGCCAAACCTCAAGTGAGGTCCAATAATTTCCTAGAAAGGGAGAGAACCTCTAGAGTGGAAGTTCTTAACTTTTTTGGGTCATGAAACCCAATGAGAAGCTAATGAAAGGTAAGGACCTTTTTGTTAGAAAAATGATATAAATGCAAACCTACCTATAGAATTTCAGGGCACTTGCACACACCTCCTGAAAGACCCCCTGGGTACAGAGAAAATGGTATGGAGACAACTTATATTCAGAAGGACTTACATGAAATCAGACTGGATTTTATGGGACCCACTGGCCATAGACTTGAACTCAACGCCTTCAAGGTCAATATCTTGCGGTAAACACCATTCCACCATGTTTCCTGTGGGGAAGGGAGAACACAAGTTAAAAGAAACAAAATCATTCCAAGAAAAAGGCTCAGAGCAGTCAGGGCTTAGCATGCATAGCTTCTCAAGAAATGTCCTCAGTAACTCGCTAAGACTTCCATGTACCTACACTCTGTCCTGTGTAAGGACGAAAAAGTACCGTACAAAGTGCCACCCTAACCATACAGCTCGCCGAGTCTTCCTGATGTGCACACACCTCTGGAACCAGCTCCCAGACCGAGGCAGAACGTGAGCTACACACCAGAAGCCTCTTGATCCCCCGCAAGTCACTAGCCCTCTCCTGACTCTCACTCCACGTTAGCTTTGCTGGTTTTGAAACTGACCTAAATGCCATCCCAGTTTGTGTCTGTTTTCTTTGGCTCAATATATATATTTTTGCAGGATTCATCCATGTTGGTGCATGGAGCAATCGTTAGCTCACGTGTCACTGCCCCCCTATGCGTGGAGCACTGCTGACTACTTAGCTGTTGGTGCACAGTTAGCTGATTTCCCATTGGACACTGTTACAAAGGGCACTGCTGTGGACCACCTGGTGACTACACCCGAGAGGCGGGACTTCCCGGTGTTTCCGGTCCAGCTGGGAAGGCGGAAGTGAGGCAGTGGCTACATTGTCTTCCCTGCGGGAGGTGGTGCAGGAGCAGCCGGCAGCCCACACTGGGGTGGCAGCCAGGCCTCCTGATGCTGCACCCACCTTCCCTGGATCCCCAGCCAGGAGTGTGTTTGGTTCCACCATGCTGGGCGTCCGCTTCATCAGGGCACCCACACCGTTAAAGCCGGAGGCAGTGACGGACAGACCCGGGCTCCCACCCGGCCCCATGGGTCCCCCTTGATCTCTTTCTCCCCGCCTGTACTCCCTTCTTCCATAACGGCTCAGCCGGTGCACTCCGAGCTCCACTCAGACACAAAGCCAGCCTTCCACACCGTGTCTAACCAGCCCACGCTGGGCAACGGCAGACCCCTGCGCGAATCCCGGCATGAGCTCCCAGGGCTCGGGCTCTTGGATTCAACCTTGGCTGACACACACGCACACATTTCTGTTGACTGTGATGCTCGATGCTAGAACTGCTGTAAAATGCTCGCATCTCTGCAAACTACAAAATATCAATAATTCCCCGAGGAGTGTTTCCCAAAGCATAGGTTGGCGGGGCTTCTGCAAAAAATAAAATAAAGTAAAACAAATTTTTAAAAAGGGATTTAAGCCAAACAACCTTCGTTCCAGTGTATAAGACTGGACACATTACTGCAGAACTTCTCAGAGCTTTCATATGTTACCCTGCACTGTGAATCTCTTTGGAATGGATACAGCGTTTAACATTTCCACAATTATTTGGACAATAAACCTATTTTTAAGGGGCATCTGTGGGACATTTTATAGAAGGCATGTCTCTTAAAGAAATGCTGCCCTGGCCGGTTTGACTCAGCGATTGGAGCGTTGGCCTGCGGACCAGAGAGTCCTGGGTTCGGTTCCTGCTAAGGGCACATACCTCAGTTGCAGTTTGTCCCCAGCCCTGGTTGGGGTCGTGTGGATGGCAGCCACTCGATGTGTCTGTCACGTTGATGTTTCTCTTTCTCTCTTTCTCTCTCTCTCCCTCCCACTCAATCTGAAGATAAATGCGAAAATGTCCTCGGATGAGGATAAAAGAAAGAAATGCTAGTCAATAAGGGCTGCAAGTTGACCCCCATATCCAGTATCCATTATTCCTCTCTCATAGGGAACAGATCCTGTCTTCAGCTTGGCACATGGCCTTCCGAATGACAACTATGTTTCTCGGTACCTTTTTGCGTCGAAGTACAGCTATATAAGTAAATTCTAGCCAATGAGATCTGGACAGAAGTGAGGTGCGTAGTTTCCAAAATGTGCCTCATTGGGCTGGCAAATGATTAAAGGAAAACCTCCTGTCTTGATCAAGCCACTCTTGATTTGGGTCTCTGGTATTCATGGCTGAACCCATGTCTTTTTTTTTTTTTTAATTTTTTTTTCTTTATTGATTTTAAACAGATAGGAAGGAAGAGGGAGAGACAGAAACATCCACGAGAGAGCATCAATTAGCTGCCTCCTGCATGCCCCCCACTGGGGATCGGGCCGACAACCTGGGCATGTGCCCTGACCGGGAATAGTACTGGCAACCTCGGTGCACGGGTCAACGCTCAACCACTGAGCCACACCAGCTGGGCTGACCCCAGGTCTTACTTAATACAGTTCTCAGGCCTTCCTCTTTGCTAATCTGTGGTGGCCACTCCTCCTTGTACAGAAACCGAAAGAATCAGATGGCCTGAGTGACGTCCTGTTCCTTACATTCTTCTTGTCCAGATAGATGCAAGCCCCTCTGGGCTGGGAGAAAGGCCCTTCAGGCCGACGAATCAGAGAACGAAGGTTCCCGAGCCACTTCCCGAGCCACTCTGGGAACAGTTCTCTATCCCCCAGGGACAGGATTCCTGCTGACACACTCCTGGAGTGAAAGGGAGGAGGTAGAGCTACCGGGCCCTCATCCCAGCCTAACATCACCCTTGTCTTAGATGCCTGCCTCCCCAGGAGACTGCACTTCTTAAAGGCAGGAACTTTGCTTAATCATCTTCATATCCCAACATAACACAATGATTAGCACAAGACAGACATTGAAAGCAAAAGACAAAGAGAAAAATCCTCAGCTTTATTGAGTGAGGACAGGCATTTTTTTTTTTTTTTTTTGATGAATTAATGTTAATTACCCTCAGGGCAATAATTGTGGTTATATAGGTAAATGTCCTTCTTCATAGGGGGCTTATACACAAGCATTTAGAAGTGAAGAATCATCATGTCTGCATTTACTTCCAAAAAGCTCAGGGGGAAAATAGTATACTTAGTTCTGACAATGATATACTGCCTACTGAATTAGGTCAATACAATTGATTTATTAGGGAAGAATTTGAGCAGAGGAAATTTCACATTTGCTTATGCTATAGATTTAAGGCAATTTCAATCCAAACGTTGACAAACTATTTTGTGGATAGTGACAAATAACTCTAAAGTTTATATGAAAAGGCAAAAGGCTCAAAACAGCCAACATTATACTTAAGAAAAACAGTCAGAGGACTAAAACTACCAATTCTAAGATTTACTATAAAACCACAGTAATCAAGATAGTGTGGTACACAAGGGAAACGGAAGGAAAAGTAAACAGAGGACGACAGGAAACTAAAGTTTCCCCACAGCAAGGGAAACCATCAATGAGACAAAAGGACAATCCACTAAATGGGAGAAGATATTTGCCAATGATACATCTGATAAGGGGTTAATATCCAAAATTTACAAAGAAATCAAATTGACACCAAAAAATTCTCCAAACAATCCACTCAAAAAAGGTGCACAGGATCTGAATAGACATTTCTCCAAGGAGAACATACAGATGGCCAGTAGATATATAAAAAGATGCTCAAGGCAAATTAAAACCACAGTGAGAGCCCCAGCCCTGTGACTTGGTTGGTGGTTGTCCCTTACACCAAAAAGATGGTGGGTTCGATTCTTGACCGGGGCTTGTCGTACAGGAGGAAACCAATCAATGTTGCTCTCTCACATGGGTCTCCCTTCCTCTTCTCTTCCCCCCTCCCTCTCCCCTCTTCTCTCTCTCCCTCTCTCTTTCTTTCTCTCTCTCTTTCTCTTCCCCCTTCCTCCATCTCTAAAATCAAACATATCCTCAGGTGAGGATTTAAAAGAAAAACCACAATGAGATATCACCTCACACCTTGTCAGAATGGCTGTCATCAATAAATCAACAAATAACAAATGTTGGCAAGGGTGTGGTGAAAAGGGAAAACTCGTGCACTGTGGGTGGGAATGCAGATTGGTGCAGTCATGACAAAAAATAATACAGTTTTAAAAATATATATATAAATGGTAATAGAGGAAGATATAAAAAAGTGGAAGCACATACCTTGTTCATGAATAAGAAGAATTAACATCATTAAAATGTCCATACTACCCAAAGCACTCTATAGATTCAATGCAATCCCCATCAAAATACCAACGACATATTTCACAAAACTAGAATAAATACTTCAAAAGTTCATATGTAACCAAAAAAAGACCCCAAATAGTCACAGCAACCTTGAAAAAGAAGGACAAAGCAGGTAGGATCACAATACTGGATATGTGGTTATACTACAAAGCTACTGTAATCAAAACAGCCTGGTACTGGCACAAGAACAGGCATATAGATCAGTAGAACAGAACAGAGAACCCAGAAACTGACCAAAGACATTATGCTCAATTAATATTTGACAAAAGTGGCAAGAGCATACATTGGAGTAAAGATAGCCTCTTTAATAAATGGTGTAGGGAAAACTGGACAGCTACATGCAGAAAAATGAACCTAGACCATCAACTCACACCCTACACAAGAATAAACTCAAAATGGATAGAAGACTTAAATGTGACTCATGAATCCATAAAAATCCTAGAAGAAACTGTAGGCAACAAAATTTCAGACATCATACGCAGCAGAATTTTCACTGATACATCACCTAAGGCAACAGAAACAAAGGAGAAAATGAACACATGGGACTACATCAAACTCAAAAGCTTCTGCACAGCGAAAGATATAATCATCAAAATGAAAAGGCTACCCACTGTATGGGAGAGCATCATTGCCAATGATATATCAGATAAGGGGTTAATTTCCAATATATATAGAGTGCTCATACAACTCACCAAAAGACAGACAAAGACCCCAATTAAAAAATGGGCAGAGGAACTAAATAGACACCTCTCCAAACAGGACATACAAATGGCTAAGAGACATATGAAGAAATGCTCAACATCACTAATCATCAGAGAGATGCAAATTAAAACAACAATGAGGTATCACCTCACACCTGTCAGAATGGCCGCCATCAACAAATCATCAAACAACAAGTGTTGGCGAGGGTGTGGAGAAAAGGGGACTCGAGTTCACTGCTGGTGGGAATGCAGACTGGTGCAGCCACTATGGAAAACAAT